AGTGAGCCAACTCCGCGAGCGTCGGGCCATCCTGCAACCAGGTATCTGTCCAGAAGCGGGTTTGCTGACCACTTCGAATATTCCACATCGTTGCTGCCGGGAGGACATGCAAGACCCGGAGAACTCCCCGCCATAGGTTTGAAAGGCGACCTTTCTCGCGTGGGCGCCAACCATCTGCAGTGCGTATCAGATACTTTGCTCGAATCACTTTAGCCCAGAGGCTCTCCTGTTCGGCCAAGAGTCTCCAAGCAATCTTGATCATGAAGGCCTCATTCATCCTCGTGGCGCTCCGGAAGCCCAAACCCCCTTCATCCTTCGGCCGACAGATCGTTTCCCAATCCACCAGATGGATTTTCCTGCCCGACTCCGAACTGCCCCAAACAAAAGCTCGGATCTTCTTGTCAATGTACTCCCTTATACTCGTCGGTAAGAACGTAGTCTGCATGATGTAGGAAGGCAGTGATGCAAGGACTGCTTGAGCTAAAGTAATGCGCCCTGCTAGTGATAGGGAGTTAATCTTCCATCCCGCCAGCCTGGAGTCTATCCTGTCAATCAGCTCAATAAAAGTATTCCTCGACACTCGGTCATGAATCACTGGTACTCCCAAATATCTACCTAAGTTCTTTGTCTCTGGGATATCGAGTGCTGCAGCGATCTCGGTTCCTTGCGTTGAGTTGATGTTCTGCGAGAAAAACACTCTCGACTTGGGTCTGCTCACCTGCTGCCCCGAAGCCGAGCTAAACTCCTCCAGGCACTGTGTAATAGCCGCCACCTGCTGCATAGATGCCTCGCCAAAGAGAATCAAGTCGTCCGCGAAGAATAGGTGTGACAGAGCAGGGCCATCTTTCGAGATCCTGATCGGTTTCCAAGAACCAGTCTCCACTGCAGCCTTCACCAGGTGGCTCAGCCTCTCCATGCAAAGCGTAAACAAATACGGGGATAGGGGGCAACCCTGTCTCAAACCTCTGGTCGGAACAAACTGATCGGTTAATCCCCCATTCCACTGGATACACATCGTGGGCGAAGTGATACACTGCATAGCCAGATTCGTGAAGTCACTGGGAGCACCCGCCGCTATCAGAGTATCTCTCACAAAGTCCCATCGGATTCGGTCGTAGGCCTTGGCGAGGTCTATCTTCAGAACCATCCACCCTGTCTTCCCTTTTTTTGCCCGCATAGAGTGAACGACCTCCTGCAAAATACAGACATTGTCAGTGATATGCCTTCCCGGCACAAAACTAGTTTGCGTCTCATCCACTAGTCTCGGCATCAATGACTTCAACCGCTCCGCCAGGCTCTTGGTGATAATCTTATATGTAATATTACAAAGGCTAATCGGGCGAAACTGTTCAATCAGAGATGGGCTTTTGATCTTCGGAATTAGGACCAGAATGGTCTCATTCACCTGCTTCACCTGCACCGGATCGACCCAGCAACGTCGCGCAAAGTTTAGGACATCATCGCCCACCATTGCCCAACATCTCTGAAAGAAGAGCGGGTTTAGACCGTCTCTGCCCGGGGCCTTGAGTGGCCCCATACACTTGATCTCCTGATGAATCTCATCCATATCAAAGTTTCTATTGATAGCCGCCCACTCCTCCTCTGTTACCGCCGGGAAGGCAGGGTTAATATGAGCAAAAGATCCCCCCTCATCGGTATACAAGACCTGGTAAAACTCCATTGCCATACCCTGAAGGATATCCTCATCTTCGATCCAGTTCCCGAGGGCGTCCTTCAGGGCTGCAATTCTATTCCTTCGACGTCGTTGAATAGTACGTGCATGGAAATGCTTGGTGTTTCTGTCCCCATGCACTAAGAAGTCCATCCTTGACTTTTGACACCACAATAACTCTTCCTGTAGAAGTACGTCTTCCAGTTCATGTCGGCATTGATCAAGCTCGCGGCCAATGGAGTTCCCCCCTGCCCTGGTCTCAAGTCTCTCCATTTTTGCAATGAGAGCATCTTTTCTGCGGGTGATATTGCGGAAAGTGATCCTGTTCCAAGAGCTCGCATCTGACGTGAAGGAAGCAATGGAAGTGGTTAAGTCGGTTCCCCGCGACCATGCTTGTTCCGCCATACTCGAAAACCCGTCGTGAAGAAGCCAAGCTGCTAAGAATTTAAATGGCTTCTGACCCGCTGCCCGGAAGTGTGGATCGGCATGAATGAGTAGCGGCCTATGGTCTGATTTCATTCTTGGTAGATGCTGAACTGTACTCTCAGGGAACAAGCTCTGCCATGCCTGATTCGTCATCCCCCTGTCCAGCCGTTCCCTCAGTCCTGAACTAAACCACGTGAACGGCGGCCCATAAAATCCCAGATCAAGTAGCCCCGTGTCCATGACACAGTCTTGAAATTCCCGTGCTCTGCTAGAGTTGAAAGGTGCTCCCCCCCATTTTTGCTGAGGCTTGCAATATAGAATTAAAGTCACCCGCTACTAGCCAGGGATCTGCCAAATTCTCCGAAATGCCGCGAAGGGCCGCCCAGAGCGCCCGCCTTTGAATGAGGGCGGGGTTGCCGTAAACCGCCGTGAAAAACCACCTCTTGACCCCCACTTGGACTTCGACGTGGAGGTGTTGCGCCGACCGGTCCTTCTCTCTAATAGTCACACAGGTTTCGTCCCAGATCAACCATATACCCCCAGCGAAACCATCAGCGTCAACTACAAGGTTCCCGTCCATTCCCATGCTCGCGATTACCTGCTTCGCTCTATCTCCATTTATTTTCGGTTCCACAATTACCACTATGCTGGGGTTGTATTTCCTCCGGTACTCTTTGAATGCTCGCAGGAAGCTTCGACTCCCTGCTCCTCTACCGTTCCATACGAAAGTTCGAATATCCATTAAGAAGGTATGGATAGAGGCTCGGGTCGACCCGTTATTGTTGTCGAAGAGGAGCCTCCGGCAGAAGGCTTCCCTCGGAAAGTGTACCCGTATACGACTCCTTAGACCTTTCTCGCGAAATTTGCATGTCATCCGGTTGCCCCCCTCCACCAGAAGGTATGTTAGGTAGCCTCCCTACGTGAACAGACTCCGGCGGCCGAACCCGATTTGGATCAGGAGGTTCCGCTAGCCCCCTGCTGGGAGTTGCGGATGGAGTAGTGGCCTGGGTCATTTGCACCGGATTGGTTGAGATACTACTCTGACTTGCTGTAACCTGAATTGGCATTAAATTGTCCTGTCGTGTATCGTGCGCTGCCATCATTTCCTCGGCTACCACGACCGTCTCAGCATAAGGAGCTGGGAGTTTCTCAGGGGGTGCCCCACTCGATACAGTGGCTGGGTCCATCGCATTCATGTTGGCTTTATTAGGGGTAGTACTAGAGTGTGTTCGGGGCTTCTCAACCCAAATTTGGCTCGTTCCTTTAGGTTTTCCATTAGGGGCAGTGGGAGTCGCATGATGTCCATGGCCTGGGTTTTCATGTCCACTGTTGGCCGAGTCTTCCTCCTCCATATCGGCCAGAGCTGTAAACCGCGACCCCGAGGGGTTGGCATTGGAAGTTGGTGGCGAAGGGCGCTTTTCGGGGCTGCCTTGAGTACGACTAGTATTAGGGCGTCTTTCTCTTCTTTTGGCAATCATCCACTCTCCATAAGGTTCCTCGTGTTTGGGTCTCTCCTGCCTGATCGGCTCAGTGGTCTCCTGTCGTGGGGTTTCAGCGTGTAGGCTGGGGCACACGGACTGTGAATGGCCATATTTGCCACAGTTAAAGCAAACATTCTTCAGCCCCTCGTATTGGATGTCATATTCAATACCCTCCACCTTGAATTGTGAGAGCAAGGGTTTGGTGAAGTCCACCTCCACACAGACTCGGGCGAACTTCGCACGTGCTCCTGTCTCTGTAGCTCGATCAAGCCTAATTGGTTTCCCCGCCCGGCTGGCTATGCGGAGAACTGCTTCCGGGTGGTACAGCTCAATCGTGAGGTCAGGAAGCTGAAGCCACACCAGCGTAGACTTGATGTCGTGGGTCTTGGGATTGAAACTCTTCTTCCATTGGCTCGTTGTGATGTAGTGGTCACCCAGCATCCACGGACCACCCATAAGTGCATGCTCATAGTCAGCTTTGTTCGTAAACCGCACGTAATAGTATCCGTATCCCCTGTTTGTCACTTGGATAATTCCATTCCGTGCCCAGAGCATGTTCAGTCTTCTCGCAACAACTGGGTATGGGAACGAGCGTCCCAGGATCTTCACCACAATCGCCGATCTCCACTCTCTTCTATATTTTCTGAATTCGGCTGTCGTGAAAGAGATATTTGGGCAGCGCGGGTTCTCTTCCTCCATGGCTGGATCGTCTTTGTCATCCTCCCTCGCAGCCTCAGCAACGTCCTCCGAATCTGAGTCGGCTACGTACCACTCGATCTCCTGGACCGCTTCGCTAAACAGCTTTTTCTTCCCCGCACCCCAGACTACAGGCTTTGGCTCGACGTACGGTGCATGGGGACCTCGTGGTGGCTCACCAGCTGACTGGCCTGACTGTTCAGGGGAAGCGTAGTCCCATGTCTCTCCTCCTCCTCTGTGATATCTTCAACAAGGACCTCGTCCATATTGGCTTCCTCCGGTATCGTTAGTGATCGAACTCTTTTCTTTGGGTGTTGAGACTCCTTTGCTTTCTTTCCATCTAGCGACGACGAGGCCTCCGGTGGTCGCCGAATCCCTGCCGTCGGGTCGGGAGGCTTTGGTTCCCCGCCAAGCGGGGCTGGCAACGGCCGATCGGCCGCCATCGCGAAGGTCGCGGATCAGTAGAAACCCTAAGCGGCGATTTCCTGGCCTCCGAGAAAGACGGAGCATACAAGTTTAACTACAACCGAGACTAACTTTAAATTAACAACAGATAAGATCGCCTTAAAATTTTAATGGGTAAAAAAAAAAAGGAGAACTTCCATAGAGTCGATTGAATTCTTTCCTTTAGTAATTCGTGAATTAGGGTTTTACAAATGGTCAAGTAGAAAGAAGCTGCGACGCAAAAGAGGGCACAGATTGTCAATCCTCCATGATTATGAACCGGATATTTGACTCGCTGATGGGCCAAGTCGGAGGCCAGGACTGCCCAGGAGAAATCCGAGCCTCTCTGATGGACCGATTTATGTTATTTGGACTGCTCTCTCAAATTCCCAAGTTGGGCCATGCCCACACAAAAATACGTATGGGCTATTAGAAGATGGGCCCTCGTCAAGGCAACACGCTTGTGGCTGTGGGCCGTCAATTACAGTTGGTAGATCGACTTGGTTTCGTTGTGAACTCTCTCTCTCTCTCTCTCTCAGATACTTTCTGATTGTATTGGTAGCTCCAGCGTCAGATGAGATATCGGGAACCCTAGAAGGATCGGCGACGGCGCATCTCATGGGTCCGAACGCCAAAGCGAGATGGAAGAGGTATCACAAGATTGATAAAGGCCGAATACCGCGAAGGCAAATCGGTGTCTTGTACCCTCAACCCCCACGGAGGAAGAAGCTGGAGGTGTCTAAACCGCCGGTGGATCCCGTTGATTCAGACGCGTGTTTGGTCCACCGGGTTTTAAATGCTCCGAAACGGAAACCGACGAACAAGGCACCGAAGAAGAAGGAAGAGGAGACACCAAAGAAGAAGGAAGAGGAGAGTGAGGAAGAGGAGAGTGCGGATGAAAAGAGTCGTACGGAGGAGGAAGCGCAGAGTGGCGATGAAGAGGGGCATGCGGCGGAGGCCATATACGTCAACCCTCCCAGGCCTCCTAACCCTCCCATGCCTTCCGAATCAAAGCGGGGGTACAGCAGGATACGGAAATGGAGGTTGAAGAAGGCCCGTCAGCAGGCGGAGGACGACAAGGCCACCGACGAGAAGAAAGAGAAGATGAGTTACGGCAGTCCCTACTGCCAACGCTGCAGAGAAGTTGACGAGCTCACGCTGGTGCCAGTGGCTGACGATGCAATGTATCTGTCTCCCGACGACGACTTTGGCGGCGACGAGAACCTGAAACTAAGGGTAATCCGCTACCGGAGGAAGAAGTGGTTGACCGGGGTAAGCTCTTTCCAATTTTCCCAACTCAACTGAAAATTTTATTAGAGTCTAGAAACATATAAACGTGCTAGTAGATGAACGACTTTGATAAGGAGAATTGGGTTATTAAATAGAAATCCTATTACCTCTAAGGAGGTAGGTCCAAAACTGTTCACTGAAATGAAACTCAGTAACAACTCTGCATGTTCTAGCAGTATGTTCATTGGTATTGTCAAAACACTATTACAACTAGGAATACAAATTGCATATGAAAGCTTATTGACCTGACCCTTCATTGGATCTTGTAGTAGTAACAGAAAACTGAACATCAATCTCAGAGCAAACAGCGACTCCCAAAGTGATTGTATGGCAAACATTTTTCCAGTTTGTGTGCATTTGTTGGGACTCAATTTAAAAGAGGAAGTGGTTGTTTGTTGATGAATTTGCAGGGTTTTGATGCTGATTGTCATCCTAGCTATCTCACTTTCGGTGGTATTTTTCAGCCATACCATTATCGGTTTGTTGTGGGTTTCGACAGGATGGTTCATGGGTCCGCGAAATACGCAATCAGTGAATATAATCGACTAAAGGAATTTTTCTTTCTTTTGAAGCTTGTATGTTAATACATTATTCTATTCTTTTGTTTCAATTTAGTATATGGTCTCTCAAATGTCGGGTATATAATGTTTGCAGAAGCAAAAGTTAACTTTGCTTAAGATTTTGAACGTCACTGCCGAGACGGCTGGGTGTTACATATTCTATGTAACATTTGAAGGCGTGAATGAGTTGCTGATTAGTAAGGGAACACCCGATATCATTCATACATACCAAACTGTAGTGACATGTGCACTATGGTTCATTGGCAATCATGAAGTATTCATCTTCAAGAGAAAATTCGATGACAAATTGTCGGGTGACGGACCGTTGAGAAGAAAAAACTTCAGAGGTATGTGCTACTTTCACTTGTCGCTTTAGATATTTCACCAATTTCCATTAGCAATTATTGTTCTCTAAGGGTTGGTTCTCTTTTTTAGAGAAGCATTTGTTACGGCCAGAACCTAGCTATGCGGAACTCACAAGAGAAAAGAGAGAAAAGTGGTGGACCTTGGAAGCAGGAGTGAAAAATGGGGGACCTTGAATTCGTGCAAGGTTGTGTGTCATCTTTGCAGGAGTAGTTTGCTACCCTTATGTTAATAGTGTTTACGTTCACATTAGAGAACCGGTGGTAATGTGTTTTCTTTGCCTGTTAGTAGGATCCCGTAGAGGATTTGATACACTTAAAAAATAGTTTTGGTTGTTAATTAGTAAACCATATAGCTAAACGGTTGAGGATTTGATGTGATGGAAATAGATTGTTCTAATGGAGAAAAGATAGAGAATGCCTTCCAAAATTAAACACGTTAATTTTTTTTTCAACCGTCATATTAATCTATCTGAGATCTCTGCAGCTGGCTGAGATTGGAGTTCTGTTGTTGAGACCCGGACTGGTGTTTGCCTGCATGGCTTTATTTGTATCTTTTTATCTTGTTGATTATTAATTAATTGATGCACCATTATAAAAAAAAAAAGGTTAGATGCTCTACGTAATTTTAGTCTATCTGAAATTTTATTTTATGACCTTTTATATGGAACTCTCACAGAAGGTTGACTATGGCTATCTAGTCAAATTGGCACTTGCCCAAATGCCAAAACAAGGCATCCAATCAATAAAAAATGAATATGATGATCAAGTGATGAAGCTAGCCAGCTAGCCCCAATTGGTTATAGGAGGAAAACAAAGATGCCCAATTTAATGAAGATCAATACAGAAATGGAGATTATAGTAATTAATTTAGGGGATGCCCCCCATCCTAAGGACATGTCATGCCCTTAGCTAGGGACTTGCTCCGCGCCCTTCTCTCTATGCAAGGAAAACAAAGGTATATGATTGATTTCCCAATTTGTTGCGGATGATATGATTGGATTACTGGACAAACCATCCTAACATTACGCAAGAATCTGCAGACAGCTTCTGGTAGCTCCAAATCATGTTGGATTTTGTGACAATATTTGCATATTGCATGAGAGATCGAGTTGGTCAAATTTATAAAAATCCTTGATGATTTGACTAACAGAATAAGGTCATTTTGGGTTTAGGAATATAGTATATGCGTTGAGTGGGAAGAAAGAGGAAAAAATAACTTGTAAATTTAAGTAGTAACCATTTTAAAAGAGTTACAAATGCAACTAATCTTCCTCCAATTCAGTGAATAGATTTGATAATGACATAGTATGTGGAAATCCAATCCCTTAAAGGGATCGAGATATATATATATAGCTAGAGATCAGGTAACTTGAACCATTGAGCTGCCCCTGCTGGCCTTTGATACGATCTTTTGATTCACATGGAGCGCACTCCATCCAAGTGATCCAAGTTCATCCACCATTCTTCTGTTTCCACAGAGTACTTCAGTGCCCAATGCTGTGAATTTCTTGATTTGTGAAGTCAAGTAACAGTTAACTAGACTAGAAGATAGCTACTTGCTTGGCCTTGGTGAGCAACAGGCTTTTGCCAGAGATATGCAGACCGAATCAACATAACAGACAGCATAATATTACCTAGCGACTAATCTATTATGAGATGCTGGCAGATTTTGGGTATATGTATGAGTGCTTTGCAAGGGAACGAATGATTAGTTCCAAGTTCCATTAATTCAACCAGAGATAGGGAAAGCTAACTTATTTCCTGGGATTCTGTCTGCAGAACAATCTGCACAAGTGGGAATGAAGGAATCACATAAATCAGCAGACAGAACAGAATTGCAACCTTTAAACAAGGTATAAGGAAAAAGTGCATATTTTGGCACATTCAATCAACTTGGTCCATTTCGCATGCATGTTTCATACTTGATTCTGTCTCACGTCGCCTTTCTGTGCTTGGTCTGCAAATTAATGCTGCGGCAGGCAGCCGCCACTCTGTGTTGAGTAAAATTAATGGCAGAGAAGTCTAGGCGTACAATTGCATCTGACTTTATAAGTTTTGGTTCGGTTCATGAACTCTAGTTTGGGAACTAACTTTGCTGCTGCAGAATGTCAGCTAGCTTCGACACAGAGGAGTCTGTTTAATATCAAGTCTTTGAAGGTTGTTGTTGGGACGATGAACCGCACTTGAGTGTGACAAAAGCAACTGCTAATTAATGCGCTGCAGAAATTCTAATAACACATGGTCTGCAATTGCATCTTACTTTGCCTGTATTTAAACCTCGATCGGTTGATTAATATGTACCATCCATTCGACCAATGATTGCTGCAATATCAATGTTCCCGGCTAGCTAATTCATGCATTCATCCAAGACAAATTAAAGGATGAAACGTAACTCTGGCGTTATGTATGATTATAATTAACCCCTTGATGAATGTCATTGTATCTTGTTATAAATATATATGCATCAACTTGCCCCTGCCTGTCGATTACTGGTTCAACCAAATGAGACCAAAAGCTGAAAACTATGGAAGCAGGAAATGATGCCATATGGGCAGTTCCCTTTTTGGGTGGTCATGAACTCACGATCCAATTATGCTGGAATTCAGACAGACTGAACAACGTTATTCAATCATAGTTCATAACAAATAATCATGAAGGTGGGTATAAATCACCAGACAGGGGACATAAAAGAGGTCTGGAAATTGAACCAAGAGTACAACCATTTGGCCATACAAACTCTGACAATGGCGACACATAGTTCGCTCTTAAACCACACATACATCTGGGGAACGATGGTGTACTGTTCCCTTAAAGCAGAAAAAGATAGACAAAAGTATGACCAAAAGCGCATCCGAAAGGAAAGTAATGACGGTAATTATTAATCTCACAAGTGTCTACATGCATTCTTTCTATCTTGAACCATATTCTATATCTGCACTCAAAGGAAATACGGCTTTGACTGCTCTGTGTCGTCTCTCTCAATCTCAACTCAACTCAGAGTGCCCTACCTACAAGCTTTTGCTTCACATGGCGGCATGTGACTGTTCCCTACCTAGCTCCAACCATCATGACCGGTTAAACTTAAAACCATGGCGGAAGTCAGTTTAAAAAATGATTGGAGTAGAAGTAATATTAAGTATAAGCCTCCTTATGGACAGAGTTTTGGATGCTTTCTGTGAGGGGACAGAGCCGGACTCTGCATGATACTGTTTACCAAAACAAGCAATATAACTTTAGAGTGGTCCTCAAATCCGAACCCAACAAGGATTAAAGATATGCAAACAAACCGAATACGACAAACCGAGGGGGTCCATGATTAATTAAGAAAAGGGGAGGATTAGTGAAGCTAAATTATTATTAAGATAATTAGCCGCCCCGTGATATTCCCCTGCTGCAGAAACCGAAAAACAAACGAGCTAGCTAGCTAGCTAGCTATTGGTCAATCTACTCGGCAAGGCTTTGCTTTATAGAGATTTTGACCAGCGTTTGTTGCTATTCAATTTCATTCATGGCCGTTACGTAAGAATGCAAAGTTACAATGAACCTGATGAGGAAGGGAGCGAGCTTGCGGCTCTGCTATTTTTTCCATTCATGTGTACTCTGCAGACTGCAGAGCAGAGCATCATCTCTTCTTCATCTTTTGCCTCGTCGTTGAACGGCGGGCTTTGACTGTTCAAAACAGCCGCCAGCTACGCGACAAAACTGACCGAAACCGCTTACCCACAATGAACCGGTTCTGTTTTATTCTCGTTTGGATTCGACCAACAAATTATTAAGGGGTCGTTTGGATGAGGAATTCTAATGGGTCAATCTGACACAATTGTCTCGTTTTGAGTCAATTGTGCTAGATAGATCCGTTTGGCAGCAGAAAATTTGGATGAAGTAATTTGGACTGGGGAATTCTGAATTGACTCATTTTAAGCCAATTACAATTGTCAGGGGTGGGGGCAGGTAATCTGAATTGACTCGTTTTAAAAGACTCGTTTTGTAAAATGAAACAATTGGTCAAATTGTCTCGTTTTACAATTGATCCATCCAAACGACGCATAAGTGATTTGCTGCGGTTATAAGTAGGGTTGAAAATTGGCCCGACCCGCCCCTGACCCTGTACTGATCCTGTCTGACCCGTCTCTGAAGGGTCAAGATGTATAACTGACCCGCTCCGGCCCTGTTTCTTTCATGATCCTGTCTGACCCTTTAGGGTCGGGACGGGTCATGAAGGGTCGGGTCAGTGGGTCGACCCTAATAAATAGACTACTTTTTTAAAAATTACAATTTGGTACCCGAATTTATTTTTCTTACATTTTAGTACCTAAATTTATTTTTTTTACAAATAAGTCCCTAAATTTTGATGATAAAATTACATTTTGGTACCCAAAATTGTTAATTTTACAATTTAGTACCTAAACTTATAAAATTTTACAAATAGGTCCAACATGTTTGTATGATGCTAAGGGTTATAGGGTCAAAAAGTGACCCGGCCCTATCTGACTCTGACCCGACCCTAAATTGACCCTATAGACAAACTGATCCAGCCCGACCCTGCGGGTCGGGGCGGGTCAGTGGGTTTTAAGGGTCAAACTTACACCCCTAGTTATAAGTGCTAATTGAGTGATTAGAATATAAGATTTTTAGGTTTCAAGATCAATGGTATTATTATCTCTAGATTAAGTTTTTATTCGTGCTTATGACAACTGGGGGCATTAATGGAATGCATAACTTTTTTTATGGTTGTTTCAATTGGGGAGCCGAAAGAAGTAGGATTGTGCGTAATGAAGTTTTGGACTAAAAGTCCGGGGTTACAATAACTCAATCAAATTTGTGTTGACAGATTTTTCATAAATTGAACTTAAAGGTGGTATTCAGTTAATTGTCGAAGACTTTTTGAATATGACAGCATCAAAATTGTGAACATTAAAACTTAAAGTGTTAGATTTGAGTTTTTAGGTATTCCCGCTTATTGTTTTTCTTATAGTTAAGATGCATGAAGAGTTATATTTAACTAGAATGTTGACCTAGCTAATCATTTAGAAACAAAAAAAAGACCTAGATTACTATATGTAACTAATTTTAATTTATGAATAACTCAAATACAACAAATAAAGTCAACTCCAACAGAGAAACTATAGTTTAGACGCATAACATAAATGATTAAATTTTGATTAGGTCAATTTAATTACTTTGTAGACGGCACTTGTATCTGAAGTATAAGGAAATATGCCCAGACAAAAACACTTTTGTTTGCTGGTATTTATTTTCTTGTTAGAATTAATTATAACGAAGGGAAATTAGTCAAATTAGTGAATTACAATTAGAAAAGGAAAACTGGAACGTGTGCGTCTGCCTGCAGATTCCGGTTTGCACCCACACCGCAGCACGAGCGCGACGAAAGGGACGGTTGCCGGTTGGGGAGAGATTGTTTGACCATTGACGAAGTGGGGAAAGGACAAGAACCGGTTTTTAATCGGATAGGTTAAATTATCTTACCGGTTGTTTGACCATTCCGGCTCTTCTTACTCGTTGAACTCTAAGTATATTTATCAAACACTATTAACCACTTCCCAGTCCTAATTTGGGATTAAACTAAAACTCTGGTTGAATTTTGTGTAGTATCGTACGGAGGTGTATGAAATGCTTCCCTTAAAATAGAAAAGGAAAATCGTCTACGAATTCAATGGATTGCTTTCTAGGGAAAAGGCAATCCAACAAACTTGTGGGTTTTCTGGAAACTTGTTCATCAACAAATAGGCACGAACGAGGCCAGCCTTTGAAAAATTGGAAAACCAATTAAGATGGCAAAATTATGAACGTGAACTTGATTTGTTTACTAATGGGAAAACTATTTAAATGCGTTTGACTTTCTTGAGCATAGTTTAATGGTTTGCTCAACAAAAGCCTTTAGTTTAGAGGATTTGGTATACACTTAGAAAAATAGTTTGGGTAGTTATTAGTAAACCCTATAGCTAAGTGGTGGAACGTCAGTTTTGAAAATAGTTGGCTTGAGATAGAAATAAATTTGTTTCAAGTGAAAAAAATAGACAAGTTTTTTTTTAATTAAAACATTATCATGTGCTTAAAGGACATGTTAATCTTATTAAGTTCGAACCGTCAACTTTGTTGATGAATATATCTTTTAATGTACTAAAAAAGAGTTCGATAGGTCCAAATTCGGGTACATATTTATTGGGACTTAGGGACTATTGTTTGGATTTACAAAATATCATATCAAATACACACACCTTTAACGAATTAATCTTAGAATTTACGTAAGTACCGACCCAGAGAAAACCCACACAACTCAATGATCGACACCTACTCTGCCATAATCAAGCGTACAATTGAGCACATAATTTAAGCCGATTATCCATAAAGCAATATGGTGCAACCTAGCTAAGAGGGGTATCGTCATAATTTCCCTTAGGCAATGAATAATCATAAATCAAATAAGAGAGTACAAATATTGGGCATAGACAATAGGAAAACATGAGACAAGGATATACAGAACGAACAAACGTGATGGGAAAACATTTGTACAAGGATATACAGAACGTACAAACGTGATGGAAAAACATTTGTGAAAACACCAACAAAAGTCTATTGTTTTTCCTTTACCTCTGTCACATCTCATCATCACCAGTCACGATGAATCAATGCCACCACAACCCATTGCCCACAACAACAGTACTCCAAAAATCTTCTCAACCTTCCTGATCTTTCTTCCTTTCTCCCGTTCTCTTGCATGATCTTGCTCATGGATCCGAGACAAAAAAACTGCGTTCTCTCGATTGATCGAAATCATGTGTTCTTCTTCCTAACTCGAAACATGCACATGCTCACGATGGATATGAATCGACGAGGCCCCGGCTGGGTTGTCTGCTTGATTTGGAGGACAGAAGCCCATGAGACTTGAGAGCTAGAAATGGGAAGAAACCACTGATGGGTCATATCCCAAACTCCCCACGCGTGTTTTGTTCTATCTTTTGATGTGTCAAAGTTGAGGATCCAATACTCTTTTCGATTCATCACATCCATCCCTCTAGCCCCACGACCCACTAATGAGATATGACATATTTTACACTCTATATACATTTGCATTTAATGTTTATAAATTTAATTTACGTAACACGCCCCATGTGAAAGTTTGGTGGATCATTATTCATTCATTCGACCTCGCACGAAGTAGTTGGGGGTGCGGTTAGAGATCGATAGGGTAATTGTTGGCGGTCTACATCATTGGTATGTTAAGTTGTTCGATCACTAATGAGTGAATTCCCGCCTTTGGGGAGAAGAACATTGAGGGTCTGCAACTAGTCTAACATTTTGAATATTGAAAAGGTATCCTTACAACTCGATTCAATAGTGAAGATATTGCTCTTACCAGTTGACAACAATCCTACGTACTCACCAATAGGGATGACAACAAAATTTGAATTTATTGGTACCCTACCTGATCCAACCTGGCTAAAGCAGGTAAAACCCGCGTTTTGACGGATTGTGGGGCGGCCTTCGGGTTGAAACACGTTCACTATTTAACGACTGGGTTGGAGTCGGGATTAGGTAATATCCAACCCATGGACACCCGCCCACACCCATGCTACAGCAACCTATCGATTAACCGTGTTGTTAATGGATGTTTATTTTGATTGAACAATTTGTATAGATAATTTGTGGGTTTGCTTGTATGTGCTAGATTGGTATTTTATATATATGTGGATAATTTGTATGGCAAGATTGGTACTAGACTTTTATTTTAACAGAAAATTAGTATTATGCATTTTTATCCATCGTAACAAAAAATTTAGATTCTTTACAATAAGAAAAGTAGAAGGACTAATTAAAAAATTTAGAAAACAGAATATTCTGTTAACTTTAACAGAATGCATCTAACATTAAACTTAAGTGGTACCGGGTGCACAAATAATAGAGTTCAGTGGTACCCGACGTCCTATTCAAACTTAAGTGGTATGTCTACTCCAATTCTCAAACTTAAGTGCTACCCAAAGTATTTTACCCTCGGAGTTTTGGGACGTATCTCTGGGCCTGTTTGTAGACGGTGGGATCTTGTAGTGACCAACTTCAAGAAATTCCCCATTTCGCCTTTCCTTCTTCTGGCCCAAAGGTAAATTCTCCTTTCTTTTTTCCCGATCCTGTTTCTTTCTTTGAACTTTCACATTAAAGAAACTGGTAACAACTTATTTTTTGACACCTGTTTGGTACGCTTGATTTCAATGGCGGATCCGGGGGTGGCCACCCCAGGCCCCGGCCCAACCCTCCTTTGAATCGGTAGTTACTATAGTCCTTATAAAAATTTTGATTTTAGACATTCGACTCAGTGTTATTCTATGATAAGATTGAGTTTAACTAGAAAAATTATCAAGTTGAACATATTCAAATCACTATTCTAAATTTAGTCTATAAATTTTAGCCCCAAAGATTATGCGTCTTAGAAAAACAATGAAACCTAAAATTCTAAAAAGTTTAAAACGTAAAAGACTAAAAGAAATATGAGGTTTGTTCCCTTACAAATTTACTAAAGCAGCTGGTGTGCAGGAATGGACACACAATGCAAATTGATTAGTCGATTGATTTATCTAGTGTTGATGTTGCTCGTTTCAACAGCTACTACGAAGAGAACCTTTTTAACAATGAAACATGTGAGAACTGATTTGCTCAACAAAATGAGCGATGAATTTCTCGTCGATTGCTCAAGTATTTTATTTGAAACAGTGTATACTATTGGTATGGATGTAGACTTCATTATTTTACCCTTATATTTTTTACGATTTTAATTTTCTAATGAAATGCGGCCCAGAGCTCTTCTGTGTTCTGGATCCGCCGCTGCTTGATTTATTGAAGAGTTCGATAAGATATTTTGTTCCCCCGTTTTTGGCTACTCTTGACTTTGGAATTTTTCTACCTCCCCTTCTTTATTTTTTCACTTGCCATAATTTGTTTATTACTGCAGCTGACAATGGTGCTTGCTCAGATGGCAATTCCTGCTCGCTTTTATTTCAAACTAGTTTTTTACCCGGCCAGTTGGCCGGTGAAGTTCATTTTATTATTTATATTAGTTAACTTATCTATATGTTTGAACTTTTTGAATCTTGTATACATTTTCTGCTCTCGCTTCATAAGTGAATATGTGGTGTGCCTATATCGAAAATTCTTAATATTTAATAGTTAGCACACTCGCTTGTGATGTTTTTATTCTCTGATCATTAATCATGTCGTAAAGGTTTATCACGTCCCATTTAGGATCGTATATATCAAATTTTTCACCAAGACGCTCAAATTTATTATCTTATACAACATATATCAATTCATGATTCTCGAGTTTGTACGAACTCCCAGCCAATTAATCAGAGTTCAAATTATTGGAAAAAGATACTTGATTACTGGATAAATTATGTTTATCCCAATTGAAATTTGACACACATCGTATCCCTTATAATGATTAAATTCTCTAAACCTCACTCATTTTTATTGTTGATGTTCATGAAGTCTTTGTATAGCATCTTATGACAATTTTTCTATCAAGATACAAATTATTATATCTTACAATATATATCAATTGCTAATATTTTAAGTTTGGACTAACCCTCAACTCATGCCTTTTGTCTAAATGTTCGTTTAGAGTCTGAATCCAAGGCATCCATATACACTATCGAAGGTTCTCATATTAAGATGTTCCTTCAATGTATAATTTTTCAACTATTTGAATGTGCATTCGCTAAATTTCTTTACATTTGGTGTTTGTTCTAAAACAAAATTTTCATTACTTATATTAATAATTGGTAAAGTGTGTATACGACAGACATATATTTCAGGTGCATTCAAAATTATGTATTCTTTGAATAATTAACTTTTAATTTTTTAACATAATATTTTGTAGCAAAATTTAAAAGTTCATACAAACATTGTGGCTTTTCACATGTATTTGAATGATTGGATGTATTGTAGACACATCTATTATTAATATCTAAACATATATATACAGAGAGTTTATTTTACTTTCAACACTAATTAATACCTTTGAACTCAGCTCCTTGGGTGGAATATGATGTCAATTTTTTTTGTTATTGCCAAAATTTGGTATGAATCACCTGCTCACAACTATATAGACTTGTTACAATTTTCATACTAAACGCATATTTACAATATTCTTCTTTTGACCCAATAGCTCGGTTTACACTATTGTAACTATAAATGTTTTTTTGTTATATATGTGAAGTAAAACATTAATGTTTATTTATTACCTTAATCGTCGAATTTAGATTATTCTTAGCTTGAAATGTGATGTTTAACGTAGTTTGCTCAATCAACATGACCTAGAGAAAATATTAGTAATGCGAACTTAGGATACATTATAAATAGTTAAATACTGCACATACGATTTATATGTTTTCACTTGATGAGAATGAATAAGAAGTTTTTTTAATAAATAACTATTATTTCTTTGTCAAGTTTCTTTCAGACCTTATCGACAAAATATTATTATTTTTGTATGTTTGTTTAAATTATTCATTAAAATGTAAATTATTATTAAGTTTTAGTAAAAAATGAGCAGAAATTTACATAGTAATTTTTAATCATATATTTTTTTGTTTGAAAAGTGTAATATATATGTCACTCTACGAACATTAGTACACTGTTGCGTATATCGATATAATGCAAAAAAAAAATCTTATATATGTCACTCTCCATCATGATTGTCACGTCGGTCGGCTTGCCACCGGTTGAACCATTCAACCAACACCGGTCATGAAATCGACATGACACCATTGGTATGACCGGTATGATCGTTTTACAAATTTCTAAGTAAAATACGTAGTTTTAGTGAATTTAAGTATAAGTACATGTAATTTTATTTGAAATATCATATTTTATTCAAATATCAATATGAATTGTACGTAAATTGTCTTCAAATATGGTTTATATATGATTATATTCATTTGATATTTCTACATATTTAATTAACCGACATAAACCGACACAAATCGGTTGTACCACTGGTAGAACCATTCCACTTGCTAAACCGGTTTGATAACCTTCTGTCCATATATTATTTATAGATATAATGCAAAAACAAAAGCAAAATAATTATTGGATAAAAGAGAATTAATATTAAATGAAGAGAGAGGGACAACTCCATAAATAGGTCAATAACTATTTTTTTGGTAAAAAAATTGTCCACCTTGGCAACTTGAGATCTCTCCAAGTGCTTATGTGGCAAAAAATAAATTTTGAATTGCCATAATATTATAGATAGATATATATATTTTGCATATAAATTTGGAAAGGACAAAGATTAGATACAAACATCTAATATGCACTCTGTATGGAGGCAAATTTATCTAACTCTGCCGGTAAACGCATAATTATGTGTGTCACTTTATGTGGAATTTGATTCGTAATTTAAGAAGTAAATAAAATTCACTATAATCTATCAAAAAATGAAACCAACTAGAGACAATCATTGAGCACATACAATCATCGAGTCTAGGTCTAGCTTGTACTTAGTGATTACAACTTGTAGGTAAGACCATAACACTAATATATAACAAGACTTCCGTTATATCAAAACCTCGAGTGATAAATATTGAATGTACCCGTGATGCATATAACAACGGCAAATCAGACAAACATGAACCACGAATAAATAAATTGTAGCAACAAAATTAACATTGAACAAGCCTCAACATTTGCTAACTATTTCGAAATTATTCATGGACTTAATTGTTTCATATTACAGTAAATTACTTTTTTATAATTTATTTAAAATATGAAATTAAATACCATGGTTGTCACCATATGGTATATTCATGCGATCTAGCATATTTTTTAGTATATGTGTTCGGAATCTCATCACTTTATATTTGCCCTTCGTTTCTCCTTCGTAATTAGTGAAGTATCATAGGTTAATATTATTCTCTATAATTCATAAGCTTTTTGAACAATCCGCATGAGACCCGTATGTATTAGCGCGAGAATGTATATAGGTTAATGTGAAATAGGAGAATGTGTGATTAATTAGTTGATTAAGCCAATGATTATATCTGTTTTGGAACCACTACTATATTTAATAATATCTTATAGCCTTAAGTCTAATTCCAGATAGTGATAATCATGCAACGCGTATTAAAGCAAATTATGAGCAGATGGCCACCTGCATTCATACATCATCGGGTAGATAGGAGGAAAAAGTTGAACACTTATCCAAATATCACTATCACCGATCTACATCATTTAGCCTGATTTGCTTCCTAATTAAAGTCATCGGATTGCATCTAAAACCCTTGTTAAGTTGCAGGAATTCGGCTCTAAGGGATTATAGGGATATATATCTTTCTTATTGTAAGGATATTCCACACCTTTTCTCTCGATGACGTATATCAAGATGAGAATTGTGCAAGTGACAGTTATATATCCAACGAATTGTTTGTTTGCTTGTTATGGTGCGTGATGAATTCTGTTCACCGAATTTAAAATGTCGATATGCACATATCGGTTGTGTTTGGTTTGGGAGTGTAGAAGTAAAAAGGATGCTTGGTGATATTTTCGATAAAAATGAAGTTAATATTCCTCTTTTTTTATCCGAAGTTTAATTCGTGTTAGCTCGTCGCTCGTTTTGTTCGCTCTTTATATTTATTATGCCATGTGTAATCCTTTAATTATGGAATCATGAAACGGGAGGGCTCAAAATCTAAAATCACCTTGTTACATTCCCTCTCACGGTTCTTCGTTGGCTCCCTCAATTTCCTTTCCTGCAACAACTCTTCTTGTTTCTTGAGTTCGGCAACCAATGGTTGTTATTACATTTGCATAGGTAATTGTGTTCATATCAAATCTACATATCGGACTCAAAGTCAAGCGCCCAAAAAAAAATAATGTATCGGCTCACCATTAACATCGTGTGAGGATCGAACTCATCTCATATTACAACAAGACTCCTTATTTGTTAATTTTATTGCATCTATGCTCATTTTTAACAAACCGAGGAGAGGTTTTCTCGCAAATACAAGAATCATTCACCCAAATCTCTATTGTCGTTCACTATCTCATTCAACTTCGTACCTCATTTATTTTCCTAAAATTTCACCTGACCTCATCAACCTTAACATAGCATGACTACAATTTTCTCATAATACCACTAAATTGGACGTTCTTAACTCGTGCAACGTTCATATATAGTTAAACTTAAATTTCACTAAAATTATAATTAGAATGATAAACATATGCCTAAATAAATAATTAACCTTATCCTTTTTTTTTCTCCTCCATTATCCCCAATTTTCACATACAACGGAAGGGAGACCCGTTCCTCTCCGGATCTGCTAAATAATATGCCATAATAATAGAATGGGCCGAGTAATCTTTTTCTGACTCCAAAAAAACAAATCTACCCAAAATCACTTGTGGAAATTTCCACGTCAAAACCATCGATCTACCAATTAGAATGAAAGACAGAAATCTACTAATAAGATAATTCATAGGCAGGAGCTACTAGAACTAGAGGTAGATGTGATTTCCCTCTTTTTACCAGTTACTTTCACCTCAACCAATGTTTTTTTCAGCTTCGTCAGGCGATACCCAATTATTTTTCACCCTCTCTTTTTTACCTCCAATTGTTTGTTTTTTTTTACAATTTAACTGCCTCATCACTCAGATTTCTCACCATTAAATTCCCACCCCACCCCTACGCTCCCTCTCTCCCATGACTGATGACGTGTTCATCGGGAACCCACCTCTATTTTAAAGAATATAAATCCCCCTATTTTATATTTTTATAAATTAAATTAGTTTTCCCCGTCTCGGTCCAAAGTTGGTGGGCCTACCGAGGCATAGAAGGCCCAGGCGATACCCACTGCCACACCCGCCCGTCTGTTACCACCACCACTCTCTCTCTCTCTCTCCTCCCTCTGTGATTTTAACTTATTATAAATAGAAAACCCTAACCCACCACTCCCCTGCCCCTCGTCTTCAATTCAATTCAATCCTTCACTCAACTCACTCCACTCGCTCTCTGACTCAGTTTTCTCTCTCGTACAAACAGATCCCACTCTGTTTCTTTTACACCTACCTCTTCTCTTCCTTTCCCCGGAGATCTTCCGAATCCGTGATCCCAAAAACCAATGGCGGCAGCAGCCTGCACGCTGAGTCACACCACGAGTGCGCCACCGCAGTTCTACTTCGACGAGAAGTGGAAGCTCTCCAAGAAAGAGTCCTCGTCGCGCAGCTCCCGATCTTGTACCGGCGCATCAACCGCCGCCGTCGCTACGCCGCTGATGAAGAGGTCGTCGTCGCAGCACAGGAGGTGTTCGTTCACGAGGAAATGCGCCAGGCTGGTTAAGGAGCAGCGCGCCAGGTTCTACATCATGCGGCGATGCGTCACCATGCTCATCTGCTGGCGCGATTACAGCGATTCTTGAAAAAAAAATCCAGATTCGGGAGGAGTAAAAGAAAAACGAAATCAATTAAGAGTAATCTCCGCGGTCGAGGAGATTCGATCGGCTGCAATTAATCCGTCGAGATCGGAGATCTGTGTTTAATCTACAGTCAGACTCAATTGATGGCGGACGGTGCTTGGGGCCTACAGCTTCAAATCAATCAATACCACGCTCATCTCTCTCTCCTCTGTTTTTTTCGGGATCTCAATGTTTCCCCGGTGGCCATTTTGTTCGAGAGAATCGGCCGATCGGTTCCAGTAATCCAACCACCGTTCTCGGCATCCAAACAGTGGAGTCAGAAGCCAGAGGAGGAAGATCAAGAAGAAGATCAATCCATTTTTATAAATAATTTTGGGCATATATAATATGACACATGTAAATAGAGTTCCCAATCAAGTTTGGGGGTTTTGTGTTTTCTTGTGACTCGGTCTCTGCTTCGATCACCCGAAACTAAACTGGGGAAGATGATCGGAGCCTCGCCGGGTTTTCCTCAGCTGTTAATTAATCCAAATCGCAACTGTTAATCAGTTATTATTGAGAGATTAATTTCACGAGTCAAATTAGTTACATATTCAATTGCCGCCCTCCCAGATTTTTTCTCGGGAAATGGTTGGTCATCATCGATCGGCTTCGTTCCTTTCTGTTTTTTTCCTTTTTTGAGTTTCCTGTTGTTCCGCCATGGCAATTATTAGCTGGCTGGCTTACACAATTTAAGTTGAGTTCAGGTCTGGATTTGGATTATTGTGTGTTGTCCATTACCTCCTGGGATCCTCACATGCAAATGCAAATTGCAAAACTGCAAATCTCTCTTTCCTATTCTGCGAGCCGTTTGCCAGAACAGAGAGGGAGAGAGAGAGATTCTACTGAAGCATTTGGGGGCGGTGGGCTGTTAAATGTTTTTCTAATAATAATAAGATATAATATTTAATTTGAGTGAGCTAGCGAGCTCCATAGATGGATCTGGTTTCCTTGCTGAGTCACTCTGCGGCTCTAATAATCAGTTGTGTACTTTGGCCGCGTACTAAACCGCCATTGTTGTTCGTAGAAAGACGGGTCTACTTTACTAATATCAATTTTCTCTTTTTTTTTTTTCCTCTCGCAAATTTCAAGATTGTGAAATCTCACCGAATATATATCGAAAAAAATAATTTAATCGTTGTTCAATTATTTTACTGTTAAAATTGTTTATTATTTTTTTGGAATACAGTATTTCCAGTCCAACCGTACAATATGATGGGTTTCTTAAACATGCATTTTTTTTGAATCGCTACTTACAAAATGTGCAAAAAATCCTCCATTAATATATGGTAGAGTTTTGTGTACTTTTCTCCATTTCAAATTTCCTGCAACGAGAATGAAAGTAGGAAGGTCATTTTTGTCTTTACACATTTATTATTATTTCATATAAAAATAACAATATCAAGATTTGAACCTGGGTCTCTTCAAACAAAGATAACAAGCACAACCAGTTACACTAAACAAATTTATTGCATCCTTTTTTATACAAAAAAATAGACAAAGTTAATCTCTGAAAATCAGAGGTCTTTTTCATCATAATTAGCAAGCTCACTAAGTCTACCGTATGTATTTTTATAGAGCTTGATACTTCTATTTCATAGTAGAGTTTCATGTAATTTTCTCAATTTTAAATTCCCGCTCTCTCCTTAATTTTTGCTAAAGGTAAATGGGTAATTGGCCAACATGGAAGAAACTAATTATGTAACTACTGTTGTATCCTCGCATTTTTCAATTTAAATTTAAATTTTATGTTTTTTTATCTTTGTTCTTTTCTCTTTCTAACTTCCTCCGAAATTTCATCCATCGTGCAATAGTTTGTGCCTTTCACTTCCCAGTACAAGACTGTTATTGAAAATCAATCTTTAGGTATCTCTTGGCACTATGGTTTTATTGTTGGAGATTTTAAGCTGGGCGAGTAGAAGATTTCAACTCCGATATCAATTCATGGCGAATAGAATGGAGTTCATCAATAACTGAAGTTCTAGAAGAAATATTAGAAATTGAATTTTTGGTTGAATATATGCCTCTTGAGATAGAAATTTGGTTGTACAACGGAGAGTGGTGGCTATTGGATCTTTAGGTTTATGGTTTTTGCAACTGTCATAACCTATTTCTATCTTAAAACGAGGAATCATTGATTGATTGTTTGAATTCTTTATTCAACCTACTGGAACTAATAGATAAGGAGTGTCTAATTTTGCGCCTTATTACTTTGATCGAGTCTATTCGTATATTGGAGATAACCCTGATTTTTTCGTTTGCTCTCAAGTTGTGATGATCCCCTCTTAGCTGAGTTTTTAGTATATAGATGACTTGAATCAACAACTCTCTATTTCTTTTTGATGAGTGACATATTGTTTCTAAAAGGAGAGCATTGAACCCTTTATATAGGATTGTGAGGTTTAAGATTTAGTTTCAAATTATCTATGGGTTGTGTGAGAATTTTAGTGAGCTTTTATACTCTATATTTCTTGACTGTCAAAGAAAACTAACCAATAGCATTTTAACAGGGACTTAATTAGCATTATGAAAATGGGCTCAATGATACATTTTTATATTTTATATTCTTAAATGATTATGATATTTCTCCGAATGTTCGACCTATATATTATTTCTTTATATATCATCTCGATCGAATGATTATCAATAAAATTAAACGGGTTAATAGACTCAAAAGTAACATAAAAATACAAACAATCAAATATGTGCATTCCGGCCAAAGGGCCGGGTTATAAGATAGTGTAAAATATGGAACACTTTGTACTGTCGAAGAGTATACACGTCCACCTACTGATATTTCGTTCTATTCCCCCCCCCCCCCCCCCCCCCCCCCCCCCCCCCCCCCCTCCTTGACATCAACATTTATGTTTTCAAAATGAGCTAAAGAATAAAAAGGACACCCGATGAAAACCCAACCACTTTCGTCGTGAATTGACATGTGGAGTTTTCGGAAATTATTTTCGTTGTTTGTTTGAGTTGTCTAAAATCTAAATAGTATATTTGTCATGTTGATGGAGTATTTATTCAAGTTGTTGTTGATAAGTATGGTATGAGATGTTACTGTTACTCGAACTTTTGAATAAGAGAATTTATGTTTGAACTTCGAAGTTTTGTTATCTCTATTAATAAATCTATGATGTATGATGTCTATGTAAACTTCAATCTCATATCAACTTATTAGCTTAGTACAACCAACACTTTATATCACAAACAATATATCTTCTAATTTCGAGTGTTTTAATTAATTTATTTAATGGGGGAATAATGAAATGTTAAATCATATTAAAACAAATGGGATTGGCGTTTTGGAGGGTGTATTGAAGGTGGATGAACATGGGTGATGAGTATGGATGGCAATGGGGCGGGTTTGCCTAAACCATTCCCATACTCATCTTCAAATACCCAAATCCATACTCGTCTCATACCCCATGCGGGGAATGTTTTGCAAACCCATCCCCATATCCGTGGATTTCGGGTACCCATGGGTAATACCCATACCCGTACATCCAACATTATTATACCTACAATTTACAAAAAAAAAAGTTTTAATTATAACTAAACGAACATATTATATCATGAAGCTAACAAAACACGGTCATTTTTTTAATATGGTTCAAAGAATATGATCCTAAAATATCCATTAATACATAATATAGAGTCTAATATTTTTCAAATTATTATGTTCTAACTCTGATACATCTACTAAATAATAATTAACTAACATAATCTTGTTGACAAGGGGGAAAGTGAAAGAGTGAAATGAGAATTAAGATATATGAATTAGATTTTGATTAAGGTGGTCACTCACTTGCATTTCTATTATTTATTTTCTCAAGTTATACTCATCATCATTGATAGATTATAATTTGATGCACATATTTTATATATGAAAAAAATTATCTTGGTGGGGTGGGTATGGGAATGGGTATGAGGTGGGCCGGTGGGGAGGCTAAAACCATACCCGCCCCACACCCATCAAACTTTTTGCGGGTTTTACCCATAGCAGGTCAAAGTGGGGATTCCCCGCGTTGATTGGGTCGGCGACGGTCGGATACCCGCAGCCATGGGTTTGATTCCCATCCCTAGTGATGAGTGCTGACGAGATGAGAGGTTGTTTCGTTTGCTTCCGGTTTTGGTTTAAAGTCTCTTTTTACGCAATTGTATAGAATGAATCATCAGCCTAATTCATTAGTTCTATACTCTTCTTATATTACACTAGTGAGTAGTGGCCAAGTGGGATAGTGCCGTAAGGGTAACTTCCCTTATTCATGAAAAGGAAACAACTTCTGGTTATGGAAGTGAACAAACAGGTAGCAATTTCATTGTGGAGGGCATCTATACCTAAAAATAAACAGAGTTCTCTTGTTTATCACGTTGATTGGTCGTAAGAGGTTGTTGGAGTACCAAAAAAGAGTCCACAACTCCACATAGGGGTTTGAGATAGAGTTGATGTTGGTTTAATAGCACAACAAATTGGTAGGCTTTAGACTCTTTACTTTTGTGGACATATCATATGTGACCAGTGACCAAATAGGATGCACTCTTGTTCTTCGTACCCACGAACTAAACATCATAACTTGGAACCTCCAAGCAAAAGCTCAATCTTCTCGAGAATAGCACCACCTCTAACATTTTTGGATGTCCTGCTCATTGATCTTGTCTATGGAGGGACCTCCGTGAATTCATTCTAGTCGTAACTTTCAATGGCATATCATCTTCTCGAAGGACAACTCTCTTCCTGTATCATGCATCTAAATTCTCATTTTTCATATCAACCTTCTTGAAATTGTAACGTGTTACAATCATCATATTGGAGTAAAACGCCCTTTAAAAAGACTAATTTCGGGGAGAATGTCCACACAGATTTCCCACTTTTGGAACCCACTTTGTGTTATAGGCAAGGAAACAGAGAACACCATCCCCTGAGTCCCGCAGGCCGCAAGTGGTAAGTCCACAATGGAGTAGTGATCAATAGTTGATTTGAATGCTAATCATTGGGATTAAGATTGGCGTGCGCCACGAAACAAATATCATCCTAATAAAGTGAGGGAGGAACAATGAAGAAATAAAGATGATTAGAGCACTAAAAAGGTAAGTTATCGGAAAGTCCAGCATACCTTTCATAGGTAGCCTAGATTCTCTAGTGCCTAAGTTGATTATATATGTTTGAAGAAATAATTAAGATGAGAATGTTTATGTTGATCATCCCCCACAAATCTTGCACCACTTGTAATTTGCATCATCGAGAATCTTGTTAGATGTTAAATAAAGCAAAGTCCCACCCCTCATTTTGACTACAATCAGCATGAATCGCCAAAATTGATTAGGTTTCATCTCCTTTGTATTTCTTTCTTTCGCACCCTTCATTTTACGCTATTTAAGTAAAAACAATAATATTTAAATCCGATAAGGAAAAAATAGCTTCGAAATTCTAGAGAAAGAAATAAGAGAGCGTTAGCATCTTGAACACGCCTTGAACAGATGAGTCCAATCGTTTTCAAGGCCTAAACCTAATCTAAAATTTAAAATTCTTATGAGAAATTGGAGAGCACTAGCACCTTGAATGTATCAGTCCAATCTTTTTTCGAGGCCAACTATTATTTAATAACTTTGTCAAGACCAACTATAATATGTCATAATTATGAAAATAAGTGTACTTCAATATTGGTTGAATTATGATGAAAATGCATGCCTAATGTTAACATTTAACATGATATAAATACAGACATCGCTCGTGATACTGTCCACCTCGCATATCACATATTTATTTTCTCTGTGAGTCATTTCACGCACTTTAAACTTATTATAATGGCAGACAACATTTATCCTAACTCCAACAAAATTCACTCGTAGTGAAAACAAAATGTTAAATTTCACTGAGAGTGTTGAAAGATTGTAAAGTGGGGTTAGATTTAGGGATGGCAATGGGTCGGGTTTTGCCAAACCCAAACCCATGGGTTTATCTTTGAAAAAAACCCGGGGTAAAACCCATTGGGTTTGAAAAACTCAAACCCAACCCAACCCGTTGGGTATCCGCGGGTTCATAGGTACCCACGGGTTTTGTCGTAAAAAATTTACAATTACAAGTTCTTATCAAAATTAAAGTAAAATATCAATCTCTCAATACAAATTATCCATATATAAAACACCATTCTAGAAGATTCAAGCAAATCACAAATTAATTATACAAATTGTTCAACGCCAATTCAGAAAACTCAAGAAAATTGAAGCAAATCACAAATTATCCATAAATAACATGTTTAATTGAAAGCTTCTTTCTTTCAATTAAGTTTCTTTACTCTCCACTCCATAACATCAACTTCATTCTACACAATTGAAAAGAAAAAATTAGACATGTCTCCACAAACATAAATAAGAATAGTTGTTTAGAATATTAAATATACCGAAAAAATTAAATATATGGGTGTGCGGGTACCCACGGGTCGGGTTTACCTAAACCCAAACCCAACCCAACCCGGTAAATAGTGAACGGGTTTAAACCCAAACCCGGCCCAAAACCCATCAACACGTATTTTACCCGCGTTGACCGGGTTGGGTCGGGTGGGTACCCATGAGTTCGGATTTTGTTGCCATCCCTGTTTAGATTTGGTAAAGATTGCGGTGCTTAATGAAGCATGCTGACAAGGAAATGAATCAACCTCGATGCAAATGGCACCACCAAATCCTATGATTGCAAGTTTGACTGAGAATTAATCATCAACCCAACCAACCTCGTAACCCCAACAATAATGCTATCCAGCTTAATTAGAAAACGACTTCTCAACTTTTCCTTTGTTCCCTTTTTGTCTTCTTTCGTTTTCTAATGCATTACAGTTTCTGTATCTTCATTAACATGATGATAATATATTATTAATCTGGTTGCTGTTCAACCAAAGCAATATAGAAGTAGAACCCACCACTTCATTGTTTGCTAATTGCTATCGAGGGTCAGAATTGACTAGTCGTTGCTGGGGAAACAGAATCGACTGTTTCTATACCCTCTCTATTTGGCAAATACGGAGGGGGTAAAAGTTCAATGGGAGGAGTGAATCAGTGTGGACTGTGGAGTGGTGGAATTATAAGTTGGAGGAGATATGATGCTGTTTGAAAAGTAAATTTGAGTGAGAGTGAGGTGGAAATTGTTGAGTTAATGATATTTGAAGTTCTTATTAGTGTGATTTCTAACAAAGAAGTCTTTATATTGTGTTGTTTCTAAAAAGTTAGTTATTTCATCCATATTTTTTGTCAGAATTATTAAGTATGAGATTTTATATCTGGTGAGTTGGCTTGGATTTGCTAACTAGTTTCATTTGGCAGGGTGAATATGATTTTCTTTGAGTGAAAATTACGTCTTTGGAGAAATACGACTGAGAGAATGGATTCGAATTCGAGATCCTTCTCATATATCATATATGTCCAATACCTTAACCATTCGAATTCAATAACTTTTGAGATATATTAATACAAAGGGTACCCCAAAGCCCCAAACACATTACTCCAATAGGGGTTTTAAAGACAATTATGAGGGATTTTGGTTTTAAATGATTAGAGTTGGTCTAGGAAGTGGATGGGGGAAAAGGTAGTTGATTGATCAAAAGTGTGTTGATTGATCATAGTTTTTAGATGGAGATATGGATGTATACAAGTTTTAGAATGTTTTTTAAATATGCAGTAATGCCATATAATACAAAAACTTATTTATTATTCTTATTGTTATCATCCTCGTCACCTCTTTTGGTAGATTTGTTCATATTCATTATACATCCATGTCTTTTGGATAAGGTAGGACGTAATCATCCCCAAACAGATTGACATAAGATTTTATTTTTTATAATCGATTCGCGAAAAGAAGGACTAGTGTAGATTTTTCGTTGGGGATTTCCCGGGAAAAATCGTCGTATTTTACTACGATTCTTTATGAAGACATTCAGGCTAGAAATAAAGTTTCAGTCCATGAATTTTTTGAATTATTTGATTTATTAGATTATATCTTGAATTTTAATGCTCCTATCTTGCTGAAGAAAGGGATAGAGGCGAGGGACCCTACCAGATCTTCTACTCGTGCGGTCAGCCTATGACACACATACTTTCGTTTAGGACGAATTCATGGCCATTCCTAACTTTTGTTCTCATCATGCCATTCACCTTGCGTGTATCTTTTATTACGAAGACCACCCGGTCTTGAAGTTTATCCAGGAAATGTTTTTTATTTGCATTCACGCCTTTTGGAAAGAGCCCCACAAGCAATACCGAACGAAGAAAAAAAATGGAGGGATGACTCGATCTGTCCCACCGGCGTACAACCCTACATTGCTCAACTCACAATAAGACCTCTGCCTAAAAAAATGAAATCGAGGCATCGAAGCGAGCTTCATCCCATCATATGAAACGAATTCAGTGTCCAATTATGAAACCCTTGGAAAAAAAGGATGAATCGAAATATAGCTGCTACACCAAAACTAGGTGCAAAAAACCAACCAGACTGACCTAGTGGATAAATTAGAAATACATAAACAAAAACAGGAATTGGGCCGGAGTAGAGTTAGCTCCAAGAAATATAGCCATCCCTACGTCCTCACGTCAACCCCACGAGCCTCTTATCCATTCGGTCGGGTGACTTCGTTCCTCTCCGTTCTAGCTTTCTAAATAAGTCAGATCGGTGCGGTTGTTTAATGTCCACTACCGGAGAATAACCAAATTGAGTTATACAAGTACAACATGTTCTATGAGAAATTTTACAAGCTATATAGTATTGGTGATATAGGTTTTTGTCTTTATGGTACAACTTGAAATTGTACTTTTAACGTTATGGTACAACTTCAGATTGTACCTATACTTTTTGTACAAAATCTTTTATGGTACAACTTGAACTTGTACCTTTATGTGATAGTACAACTTCATGTTGTAAAGTTGTACCATAACATAATGATACAAAATCCTTTATGGTACAACCTAAACTTATACATTTAATGTTAATGGTACAACTTCAAGTTGTACATTAAAGCACCAATACTATATAGCATAGTAGTAGTACTCCATGTTCTATAGCCTAACCAACTGCTTCAATCTTCTTCTAAATCGACGAACGTTGTTTGAGTTATTTTTACGGTCTTTGCAGCCAACTCATATTTGAACAATCTAAATTTTTAGATGGAGAATAAGCATAAAGGACCTTTAACAATAATTTTTAGTTGGGCAATGTATTCAACATAAAATAGTTTTACTAAATTCAAATTAATGAAATGGGGTTGTTGTGCCTTTGCCCGTTTATTATTGATCAGCATAGAAATGGGTAATGAAGAGTGTACAGTTTGGGCCTTAAAATCTGGCCCAGCCGCATCTGGATGTAGGCTGGAGGAGTTATTTTGTGCGCCAGAAAAAGAAAATAGTCACTCGTTTTAGCTATAAATGTCCTGATAATGCACAAAACACGAGAATGCTTAGTAGTTAGTATAACGATCATCGTGCTTTGTACTTGTTTTTAAGAAAATAATTTATTTATTCCCGCAGTATTTCATTTATTAGTAGAAAAATAGCAAAGATAAGGGGGGACCTCTATAGAAAGAGAGAGGGGCCAAATCTGTATCTCCAAGGACAAAGGCATCAAGCTATGAAAAAAGTCTGCTTGGTTAATTGAATCTGCACAGTTATAAAAGTTGGACAGCATAAAAATTGGGTTTTGGCATATGCTAAGTTTGGAATGGCGGATTGGATCTGGACCACAGTATTTGGGCCCGCTAATCCTTATTTATGGGTAGCCATGACTGGATCTCAGGACCACAGGATCCAAACTTGGGCGCACTTGACAGAGCTTTGTAATTAGTTTTAGAGGGGTGTTTCACTGTTTCTAAAGTGAATTCTGCAAAGTAACAGAAAATTGTATTGTACGTACCAAACACTTCCGCTCTCGTTAAGACTCGAAACGTGTAACCAAAAAGGGATAGAAGGTAAAAAGAGTTGTCTGCCTAACGTCATAATTATTACCCCAAAAACTGAACCACTGGGCATTGAATAGATGCTATCTATTGGAATTGGAGGCCCATGTTTGACTGTCCAGCTCGACGAGGGCCCAACATGTTCCGTCTTTGTTTCACCGTTCGCTTGGGAGCCACCAAGAACATTGTAAACCCTACCAAACTATTTTCAACAACTCATTTTAGTGGCGTTGAATTTTGGTGATGGTGTGAAATTTCGCAGTGGCAGAATTAAAATGAGTTTGATAGGATGGACAAGTGGTGGTGTGTTCCCAATTTTACATCTATTCACCCGCAAATAATTTGATATGAAATAGGCGTGAGTGAATCACAATTCGATAAATTTGTTTATTCGGACTTATTTGAGTAACTAGTGAGTTGATTGTAGTTTATCCGAATATGACCCGCATCATATTTAACATGCCAAGTAAGAGTGGCAGAGTGGAGGAGGAATCATTTAGATGCCATTGGGCCCAATTGAGCGAAGCCCAAGACGGCGAATATGCTGTCTACCACTACGCTAGACCACTCGCTTCGCGGCGCGTGCATTTCGTTTCCCCCTAGGAGGACAAAATCCCAGAGCAGCATTTCCTGCGCAGCTAAACGAACTAATCAGGAAGCTCCAGACGCCTATGGCCAACGACATCGACGCTGAGTTTCCTCCCCAAATCCTCTGCGATTCTCCTAATTCTTCGAGTCTCCTTTCTGATCCTCACGCTGGTCTGAGCCGCTGAAGCAGGTCTGTGAGTTCACTGTGAAGTTTCTGTCCATGAATCTGACAGAGTTCGGGTTGGGAAGGGTAGGGGCGGTTGCTAGTGGTTCGTTCCAATTTGTCTGCTTTTGGATTTTCTAGAGTGAACTAGGAACTGGGTTTGTATTTTCTGTGAAAGAACTTGCTGTGTATGGTCGAGGTGCAGAATCGTTGTAGAATTTTGGGGGAAGTATTGACTTAATGGATGAACTCTCTTTGAGGTGTTATTGTTCTAGGAACGGTTCACAGAACTAGCTGGAGTAGGGAAACTTCATTCCCAAATCCAATGGGTTCTTATCAGAGCTTCCAGTACCACTATCTTGAAAGGCTGGTGTTGAGAACAGTGTGTTATGGAATAGTGACTGTGGAATTGTAAAGGGCATGGAATGACTATCATGTGAAATTGAAATGTCCGGTGAACTTATGTTGGGTTAAGTGGGTATCAGTTCTGCGCTCTTCTTCTTCGAAGAAATTTATTGTTTATGGTCCATGTAACTTAAGTTTTGGCTACTGTATGTTCTGATGTTTCTTTTTTGGTGAAAATTGTACTTCTGCAAGATTGTAAAAGCAATGGGTGACGCAATTGATTTAACCGGCGATGGAGGTGTCCTGAAGAAGATTGTAAGGCGTGCAAAATCCTATGCAGTTGAGCCTTCAGACGATCTTCCTCTTGTTGATGGTAAGCTTTCTAGTAGGCTGGCTACAGTTGGAGTTGTCTCTTAAATTTATATGGAATTTTTGGGGATCGAGGATGCTCCATTTTTTGTTCCTTGGTATGTAGGCTTGTTTGATGCAAGTATCTTGGGAAACCAGGAATGTAGACCAGTCGTTTCTCCTTTCTGGCTGATGGAAAGGATTCCCAAATGGCACATTTGTGTTTATCTTCTGTACTTACTATTTGATCTGTAAACTAAGATCTCCATCTCTTCTTCCTTCTGCAGTTCATTACGAGGGCACATTAGCCGACACCGGGGAAGTCTTTGATACCACACATGAAGACAACACAATCTTCTCGTTCGAAATTGGAAGTGGTTCGGTGATTCGGGCATGGGATGTTGCATTGAGAACGATGAAGGTCTAGTTATGTCAAGTGTTGTTCGTTTTCCAGATCACTGAATGCTTCCCGATTGCTGTGCTCAAAAAATTTGTTGCTATTCAATTCCAGGTGGGGGAGGTTGCAAAGATCACTTGCAAGCCGGAATACGCCTATGGCAGTGCAGGCTCTCCACCGGATATTCCAGCAGAGTAATGCTATAGCTAGACAGTTGTGGTAAATGATGACCTGAGTCTGTTTTCTGATAGGGCACGTTTTTTCTTGATGCAGTGCAACTCTAGTTTTCGAGGTGGAACTTGTAGCTTGTCGTCCTCGGAAAGGTTCCAGCATGAGCAGTGTTTCAGAGGAGAGAGCTAGGCTAGAGTAAGCAAACATCGTTTCATTATTACATTTTTCTCAGTCTGTACCCACAAGCTTATGTTTGTTTGTCTGTATAATCCGTTCAAATTCAGTGAGCTGAAGAAGCAAAGGGAGATGGCGGCTGCAGTCAAAGAGGAAGAGAAGAAGAAACGAGAAGAAGCGAAAGCTGCTGCCGCTGCTCGTATTCAGGCGAAACTAGACGCAAAGAAGGGTGGAGGGAAGGGAAAAGGGAAGTCCAAGTAACAAAGGAATGTGCTCCAGCTTCCCAGTTTTAGTTCTTCCATATTGTTGTATTTGAAACTCAACTGTAGTTGTCGACTCACTTAGAGCGATAGCGCGACTGTTAAGGCCAATAAATTACCATCTACTCTGCTAGCAGATAGTAACAATCTCAATATCATTTTGAGTTTATGATTAAGAGGTTTTAAGGCTAACAAACACAGAGCAACCATTGCCTGATGTGAGACTTCTCCCAACTCAATCAGGTATCCACGGTTAGTAAGAAGTTACTATAATAACTGTGATTTTTCAATTGCCAACTTCCCGAGTAATCTAAATTACAAAATGTTATGATGTTACTAAATACATCAATCCGCATCTTTTCTGCAGTGTGCACTAGTCTGAGAAAGATTTACGTTTTAGTGTTAGGCACACACAGTAACTATTAAATTAGACCTTCCATCTTTGTTCAATAGGAACTCCAGTGAACCTTTTACTTTCTATCCTTTGGAGAGGTAGACTGAGTCAATTGATGCAGAGGTTAAAAGCTAAACCATGTATGCAGCATCCAGAGCTTGTTCATTTTCAGCCCAGCTGGATCCTGCCCTGTATTTGCAAACTGGGCATGTTCCCTGTTGCCTCAACCATGGGTCAATACAAATGGCATGGAACTGCAGGGCAAAATATCAAGTTAATGGTGTGCTTAAGCATATTAGGCCACGTTGCCTAATATTGATATACTGAAAGAAGCCATTCATAGACCAACGAAAGAGAGCTTAGGATCTGCAACAAAGGACAGGACCTGATGCAGGCATGGGAGGGTACGTATGACTTCTCCAACATCCACTTGCTCCAAGCATACACTGCAAGTAAGTTCATCTTCTGAAGCCTTCAAGCTACCAAACCTATTTGATGTCTCCTGCTGCTGCTTTGGCTAGAGAGCAAAGTAACAGATCAAAAGCATATTCAACTCTGTTGACAAGATGCAACTGAATTTGGCCTAGTGCTATTGTAGGTTCGAACCTTGAAGCCGTCAATCACTACTTATAAGAAAATGTGTGTAGAATGCACTCGTCTGTCTCAATATGCATTTATCGGATATGCAAGCCGACAAAATTTCACACCATGCAAAAGTAAAACTAGGATAAAGAAGTCGAGTAGTTGACTGTTATTTAAAAAAATTCTTCCTTCGAGGATTCATTCTGATCAAAATTCACATCAGAATCCAGAGCTCTACTAATTGCCTAATTGGGCTGGAAGCACATGAGCTTTGGTACTGAGACAAGGAGTCGTTCCGAAGGGAGAAAGAACAAATCACTACTACAAACATCTACAGATAAGACAGGAGGGTGAAGAACGTATCCTAACTTGTCAGGAACACAAAGTTCACATTCAACAACAAATTATGAGAATATGTTAAGAAACATGTACCTCCGTAGGAATGGACGATGATGCTTGTTGCACTAAAGGAACCGAGCTGGCATATTAAAGAAGATACAAATCTTTGTCAAACACATAGAAGACTTATGTATGAAGCCCTTCTAGAGACAACATGCAGCAACATGGAAAGACGGTGTAGCAAAGTAGTAGATTACTGTAAGCTACTTATATAAACGGAATTTTCAAGTGATACATGATAAAATCAGAAGGAACCTATTCACCACATTTTAAGACTCTGCTCCTCTCTTGCTAGTTGCTACACAGATTTTGGACGCAGAAATGCTTTACCAGGACACGAGACTCTGAATGACTGATTACAAGAGACAACACCTTTGATATCTTTTTGCATGCAGACATGCAACCATCAATCAAAATAAAAATCTCAGCCAACTACAACATACAGCTCAGCTATTGTATAAAATAGAAGAGAGAAAAGCTTTTGGAGGATGAATGGTCCAAGAGTAAGCAAAATGTGTTCAGCTGCCAAGGGGTGTCCAAGTTCAGCTGAGTTAAGTACAGGACAAGAAGTATGATGCATGCAGCTTGTGGCAGACATAAGCAAATCCAAAGTAAACATCAGACGGGTTAAACAACACCTGGGAAAACTTACATCTGAGGACCAGAAATCTTATAATTATGAACAGGAAGGGCATTTATCTCTTCCTCACTCATTGATGTGGTGGGAACAACATCAGAATCCAGTGCTCTCAAAGTCTCATAATCTGCCAAAAAGTCAAATCCAGTGATGGTAACAAAAAATGACAAATCAACACACCCCTAACACCGATTTTGAAAAAAATAAGCCTCACCTAGGTCGTCAAATTCTCTATCAAGGAGAGCAAGCTGGAGTCTGAGGCCCTGTAGACGTCCCCTGGTTGCGAGAGCTATGGATGGTGGCATATGCAACCTTAACTCGGTATGGCCAAGTAGCCCGCTGGCAATGGCAGCATGAGCTTGCGCCTGAGCTTGCAGTTGTTGACAAGTTGCATACATCCTCAAGATTGTGGCCATCAAAAATACCCCAAGCACCAGCCATAGCTACAACGCAGCATCCAAAAGTTACAACACATTCGAATTTCTCAAGGACCAAACGGAAAGAAGAGAAGAAAACAAATTGTGAGGGGGCAAAGATAGATGAAATCACCAGGAAATTGGGAGGCATTTGGTGTGAGTTCAATATCATGAACAACAATAGAACTGCATGAACCCAATGTTACAGTTATTCGTCAGGAAAAGCAATGCAATCAAATCATAAAAACGTAGAATTTTGATCCCCAGACACACAAAACATACCTGTGACGAGGAATACAAGCGAGTTGGAATTAACCGGCCGAGTCGGATGAACTCGCTGAAAACAATCAGGAGCTGAAATCAATTCAAAGCAGGAAGCGGAAACGAACGTTTTACATGATGAGGAGCAGAAGAAGAAAATCTCACCATTGCTCGGCGCTCAGGGACGAATCCAGGAAAGCCATTTTCTAAATCTAATTCAGCTCTGGTCCCGCGGAAAACAAAACTCATTTTCTTCCTCCTCTGTTCTGATTTTTCTTCCTCTTTCTGGTTCTCGTCAGATAATCTCCGGCGACGGTGCTTTGAATTCTCCCCCCACTGTCAAATCGAGACGGGAAAACCACATTCGAAATCAAAGCAACAGAAGCGAAAAACCATGCCGGAATCCAGACGACTTGTGAATGGAGAAAGATAACTAGAAAACTCACGCTGTGCGCGGAGGATGAAAGGGCGCCGGATCTGGAGGCGAAAATGCGATGGATGGCCGAGCGGTTGATCAAAACCTTCAATTCATTGTGGTGGTTGGGGAAATGGCGACGGTAATTTGGCGTCCGAGGAGATGGAGGACGAGTTGGACGGAGCGATTTGACTCGGTCTCCCCGGGCTTGGCATGTTGTTTGTTTCCTTTTTCTTTTTCCTATATAATCTTTTACCTTTTTTCTGGATTAGTTTTCTTATTTATTATTTTTTTTTAACCTCACCAACAAAGCAAACGCTTTCGTCGTGAGGTCGCCGGAGTAGTGAGAGTAGTTAGATGGGATAAATCTCCTTATTGACAGCTATATTAACACGGCACCGTTCCGGTAGGGAGAAATCGTCATTTATAATCGACGTAGAAAACCATGATGCCAACCACGACCCACTTCCGTTGGATTCGTACACCAATTTTAGTCTTTTGAAAGCACAAACCACCGCACAAAGTATGACAATTGTGTGGTTAACAAGAAGATGATAGAGAGTAGGTTTGTTTGGTTTTGGTTATAGTTAAACAAATAGTTAAATAGATGCATTGTTATCATAATATACAAGTATATAAAAAAAATTTGAAGAATTGTAGTTTACATCGTTTGGTTTCTGTGATATTTATTTTAGTATTTAAATAAAATATATTGCTTTTTGGGTGAAATGTCACTTTTATCCTTTGTTTTTAATATAAAAAAGCAAAACACAACAAAAGTTAGGGACATAATTGGAAGTAGGAAAACACTCCAACATTCTCAACAATCTCACCAATAACTTGAGATATTACTATCACTCATTTTGAGTGATAGTTTCCAATTCCATCACATCAAGCAAACAATGCATGTATAGTTTGTGCAGCAGAATATTAAAAAAAAATAGTGTATTGTGGACAATGCATGCATTTGTAACTATCCCAACCAAACAATCACCAAAACCAAACCACCCAAAATATCTTAGTAAGTCTACAAAGTATATCAATCACATACCCTCTATGCAAATGCAAGGTGTGATTGCTTGAGAATGTATAAATGGAGGATAAAGTGTTGTTTGGATAATTATATTTGCAGTTGTGTTGCACCAATTAAATCACGCAAGTCCAATTTAAGGTCAGTTTTTTCTTCTTCTATATTTCGATTCATTCTCATCATCAAGAAAGATGGAGCTTCGGTAAATTTTGTTTGTCGCTCTAGCCTCTAGTTGATTGATCTAATCCATTTTGCAGAAAGTATCATGCCATTGTTTGATTTTAAGAATAATTACACTCATAGAACAAATGCCTCTTTATACGGTGCAAGATTGTAAACGATAAGATAATGATCGTGCGAACAGTTTAATCAGCCAAATTAAGATTCAAAATCAAAACTAATTAAACACTCAATGATTTCCATCGCTTCTTGAACAAGAGAACTGAACTCTTTGTACATCAATTACCATAAACTAGAAACGAGTTAATATCTAACTATTTTTCGATTTTGATTACCCAAACTACGAGCAATTGGTTAAAAAGTTTTGCAAAAACCATCATAGTGTTCCCCCTTTTTTAAGATTCAGGACAACGTTGAGTCGTATCGTGCAATGGGAACCACATCATTCATCCTAGGCAGTTGAACGAATCTGTTATCAATCTAAAAACTGAATGGGGTTTAGTGAGTGAGGGGCCAGAAAATCCTATCCCCACATTGATCATTGACATAATTGAGTTACGACAACTACGAAAGCAGTTTTCTGGCAATCTTGTGTCTGGCTGTGTGGACCATTTACATTTTTCTGATTGAGTGTGGACCGTTGTGATTATCTATGGTACTAGTGGGCTTGTATTGTAAGCCACCACAGAGGAAAGAGCCGATAAAAGAGAGAAAGAAGGTCATCAATGGCGGAATCGCGAATGCGACGAGGCATGCAACTAATTAATAAAATATCTTTCTTGAGGTCGGTCTTTTCTTTTTGCTTGATTCAATGTTCTTTTCTGTTTGTATATTTATTAATTTGGCACCACACGAGTGTGGGATCAAGGATGACATTTGCGGGATGGAAGGGAAGTAGTAGACTTTTGAGTTTTGACTTGGAGACCCTAGGCCTAGAGCGCTAGGATCGCACGTGGGCTTCCGACGATTCAGAATTATGACGACACGGTCTTACTAGGTCCCCGGCCCAGCCCAGCCCACTCCCAATATCTTGTTCGGATAAATAAAGTGTACTGTGTACATATATCAAAATGTATTTAGTATTTAGGCTCGTTATTCTTTATGATGATTAAAGATTTGAGCCACAAATAATGATGGCTACTATACTAAGCGCCTTCAATACATTGGGCCCAAGGGTAAATGCTGGTAAGGACTCTGCTCCTCCTTCCTATATATTCACTGCACGATGTGCACATTATCTTCTCTCTACTTTATACACCTTGTGTATAATAGCAACCCCTATCGTCGAATAAAAATTATTAGAGATCGTTTTGATTTTTCTTGTTGTTAAATTGACATATTGGTGTATCATATACTATATGTGTTTGCTATTTGTGAGTGTATTTTACATAAATAAATTAGTTAGATTATAACGATCTGAAAACCAGTCCACCTGGCCATACACATATTTGTCGTATCTCCTTTTTGCCCGAAGTTGTTTTCTCAATTAGCGTGGTTTTAAAGGAATTAAATGTGAGGCGACAGCAGGGGTTATAAATTGGGGAAAGTGGGGATTCCACACGGCAGCTGCTGAGCACAACAATTTCCAGCCTGGCTGCGGGATGGCGCAGTCATTAATTATTAACTACATTAATTAGTCTTACAGCGGGAGGGGAATCCTCTATTTCTTTTTTCTTCCTTTTTAAGCTCAATTCATTAAATTGATTAAAATACAGAAACACCAAATAAGAGTAATATTCCTATATAAAAAAACAAGAGTAATATGAAATTCATTATGAAGCAAAGCACAGCAGCAGACTGAAGTCGTACTCCTCCTTCCTACCAGCAGCGTATAGTATAATACTACTAGTCGAGTCTAGTCTAGTCTAGTCTAATCTTTCCCAGTTCCCACTGCAGCGATCTCTGTGCTTGACTTGTTGGCACAGCATAAAAAAATGAAGAGAGATATCCGACATTGATCAGCTAGGTAGCAAGCAAGCAGTGAAGCATCCAACAAACAGTATGGTCTTCACTCTTCCCCCCACTAGGCCAAATGATCATATTCTGATATTCATATGGGCTGGCTGGCTGGCACCCACTCCCCACTCAAACACCCTCTGCCCATCTTACACAGATATACAATATCCGTTACGGTTTATGTTCCTATTTTGGTTTTCTCACTGAACAGCCATTGCCATTCTTATAAGCACTCCAAATGTTCTTAAGCCTGGCAATTCCATCCAACAGGGTCTGATTCAGGCCGACTCGTTTTGAAGCAGGCCTTACCCAACCCGTTCCCCCCTATGGAACCGGATCTGGTCTAACCCATGAACAAGTCAGAGCCGACCCGAGTACAAACTCCACCCCTCCTGCCCATATACTTCCTTCCCAACCCAAATCAACGAATCCATCCTTCACTATGCCAGTTGCCACCTCAACCACCCACCCCAATTCCACTACCCACAGCCCCACAAACCACTCTTCAGTTCAATTAATCATCTCCCCATAATTTTATTTACCTTTTCAATATATAATCCTAATTAATTGCCACCAATCGATGGTCACCCTCATCCCCTGACCCTGAGTTCCCAACTTCTTCTTTTCCTTTCCGGTTTCTAATTCAAGTCACGTAATGGAGGAGGGGAACTGATCAGGTGCATAACCTTTGATTAATAATCATGCATAATCAGAATTCGCCACATTAGCGTCTCTTTTCTCTCATGAAAAGCCTTTAATTTTGCCTATTAATCTTTCACAGACGATTTCTCACTCATTTTAATTTGGAATTTAATTTTTTTTTGCATAGTTAGATCAGATTAATTGTGCTCTTCAAAATGATATCCACTTTGATATATTTTTGGAACAAAAAAAAATTCAGTCATTTTTTACAAGTCTATATCATATGATATTGACTCGTATTGAAATAAGAGCATATGAAATGCAGTTGGTAACGAGAGACAATTAATTATTTTTTTCCTAAAAAATATTGGAAATGAATTTCATTTTGTAGAGCACAACGAACTCGTTCCATATGTGCAAAAAAAAAACTCGAGTTAAAACGAAGAAGATATGAGTCGATTAAGAAAACAATGGTTATGCATTCTATCTTGAGCCGTCGAGGAGAATTAAGCACATTAGAAATTCCGAGGCCATCTCTTCAGCCTGATTTAAATCACTTTGTCTTCTCCATACAATATGTCAATATTATGTAACAATTCTCAATCTCTGCTCTCGTCCACTATCAAATTGTCTGATTCTATTATGATCCGATTTTCTCAATGCATGTCATTAGATTCATGAATCAATCAATCAATCAATCCAAACGATTGAATCGATAAATTCACCAATACATTTAATCCATAAATCTACAAATCCAATCTACCTACAATGTATACAATTTATTTGATTTCTTTTACTCGAAGCTCAAAAGCCTCACCAAATCCAATGAAATTCTCTACTACACTCATTATGTATACTATTTTTTTATAATATTATTTTGAAAGGCAAAAGTTGTGCCAATTTTTAAAGTCCGACCCGGACATTCAGAACGTACAACAACAAGCGGCTGGTTCGTGTCTCATAACGCGCAAGAACAGAAAACCCAACTAATAAACTAACTATTACCTTCCCCTCATGAATGGTTGTCCTCCCTTTTCCTTTTCTCTGGCATTTTTAATGCCCTTTTCTATACGTGTGAATAAAGGAAATTGGGATGGGATTAAGTGCTAACCCTTATAGCAGTTAGCACCGTGATAACTAGCAAAAAACGCTATTAGAAATAACGAAATCACTACGGATTATTATAAAATCAATACAACATCTAAGAAAAATCAGTACTAATTCAAACTAGTAGTAGTTTTTCCCTTAGTTAGGACGGTGCTAACTATTGTACAATTAGCACCGTAACCGCACCCAAGGAAATTCCTTGCTTTCGTATTTGTTTAACCCCTAAGAATAAAACAAAGTACAAGAAAAGCTTTAAAGCACACAATTCCATAATCATATTATAGTTTATAGAGTTAAAAAAAATGGTAAAGCAGGAGACATTTTCATTGTGAGGCTGAAGTTTATTCAGAAATCCGCAGTACAACTGTACAATAATAAGTAAGGTGTAAATGAAACCCAACCCATAAACCATGTTCCGATATTTACTCCTCAACATAGCCCACCATTGTCCGATCAATGATCGGGCCATACCACTGAGACGAGCCCTTTCAATTAATTAGACAACAAAACCACGTGTCTTCTACTCCCCACAAAAATATTTCACCCCGCCCATTCACCCGGACCCTCTACTTACCACCGTAAAAAAAAAACAAGGAAAATTTTTAGTAATTTACAGTGCTGCCTAAAACGTGTCCGAACTTCACTAAACATGTAACCCAAGTTGTCGACCAGCGTCGTCACACCTGACTTCCGCGATACCGATCCTCGACCCAGCCAGATCGTACTCCATCCACACATTCTGCTGATGGTGATGCCCGATAACGAACGCTTCGATCCCCAGCAGCTCGGAGTTCCCGAATGTGAAGCACCACACCGAATCCCTCCCCTTCCCCGCCGGTTCTGGCACCCGGTACAGCAGCTTGTCGCCCGATACGGTCATCTCGGCCCCTTGGAACATCAGCGTGACTCCGGGCAGGCCAGGTGGGGGGACCGTCCGGGTCGACTCGATCAGGTAGCACAAGTCCATGGCTCCTTGGAACACGTAGTTCGGGTCATCGAGGACCCGGAGAATCCCCTTGGTTTGGGCGAGGAACTCGGTTCGCAGCGCTGTGTAGGCATCGCCGAGCAGGAAAGTGAACTGGGTACCCGAGTCGACCATGGTCTGGCCAGCGCCCGTGTGGTCCGGCTGGAAGACCGATTCCGGTACGGGCAGGGTTTTGTTGTTTACCTTTATGCCCTCCAGCTGGACGGTGTACGCGACCCGGTCGTAGTACGGCAGCGGGTCGTCGATTTTCACCATCGGGGTGTAGCGGAGCGGCTTCAGCCACGAGAAGGAAGCGTCGCCGCCGAGGAGCAGCACGCCGGAGGAGCCGAGGCTGGAGATGCAGTAGGAGAATTTCGGGTAGCCCATCTGGTTGATGAAGGAGAGCGAGCCGCGGTTCATCCCCATCAGCCCCGTCGATTTCGCGTCCTCCTCGGAGTTGGAGCTGAACCCGGAGTCCATGCACCCGAACAGGGTAGCGGGTCGGGTCATCGACCCGATCCGGAACGTCTCGTAGGCGAGGCTGCCCTCGATCGAGGTGGCGTCGGCGTAGGAGACGGTGACGTGGCAGATCTTGGCCGGGTCGCAGGAGACGGGTATGGACAGGTCCCGGGTCCGGGTCCGGCAAGTGGGCGAGGCGCAGGGGACTTTGGCGTACGATTTGGAAGCGAGCGGATCGAATGTGGAATTCAATCCGGGGGTTTTCTTGCAATGGAGCCAGGAAAGCTCGCTACCCGTGTCGAGCACCATCGTCACGGCCTGCGGCGGCGACCCGACGGTGAGGGAGACGGTGAGGGAGACGTTGTGGTGGAAGAGCATCTTGTCGGACTTGGAACCCGCGGCGAGGGTCTTGAAGAGCCTGGAATTGGGAATCCGCTGGTGGGTCTCTGTTTTCAGGGCGAAAATCTGGCGAGGCGGCTTCGAGGCGAGACAGTAGTGTTCGGGTAGAAGGGAAATTAGGAAGATGAAGAGGGGAAGGGAAACAGAGTGGCGGATTGAGAAGGCCATGGCGGCGGCGATTTATTGTTGGGGGGAGGTGTGGGTTGAGTTTGGGTTGGTTCAAATCAATGGTGGATTTGAGGGGAGAGTGAATATATAGTACATAGTGTAGTAGGGCGTGGAGGGGATTTTGAATTGAAGACGGTGGTGGGTAGTGGTGGAGGCGATTTGGATTTTTGCGTCTGAGGAGAGGAGAGGAGAGGAGAGGGAATTGGTGGTGTTGCTGTGTGTTGGTTGGGGAAAATTACAAAACAATGGGAGGCGAATTTCCGGTTCTTTTGGGGACAAGCTTTTGCGGGAGGATGGATCTTGTAAAGTTGTAATGACAATTCACAGAAAGGGAGAGGGCAAGTTGTTTTCAAGGTGGTGAATGTGATAGTTATTTGTATTGTTATTTCATATGAGCTGACTCACGGTTGTCATGAGACCGACTGAGATGACAAATTTTTACAGGCAAATATATCATACATCACTATTTGCTGATCTTTGATTCTGGTTCAATCAGAAAGTTCGGATTGAAATGAGTTGGATGGTGTAAAATTCAGGGAGAATTATGTTGTGTTCGTATTTCCAGTCACAAATGTTTGATCACGAATCTAATAATAGGTGAGAATTTTAGCATATGTTTGAATTTACAGTACAACAATCATTTTATCTTTCTCTTAGGTTTGACATGCTGAATTACTAGACTCCTTAATCTTCTCATATGATGGATTGATTATGATTAGGAATTAGTAGCGGTACAAACATTGGGGTTTCTCTATATATTTGTTAGAAATACTGATTGATGGAGAATTGATGATTGAACTGAACATTGGGGTTTCTCTATTCTATATAGAATTGATGATTTGAGGGGGGGTTTGTCTGGTATACGTGTAGGGAAACCATTGCACTCGAGATGGAGGGTTTCGTGTTGCTTTATGGATGCTTCAGTTTCCTTTCTTCTTTTCTCTTTACCGTTGAATTCTTGAGGATATTTTATTACCTTTATTAAACGGGCAGATGGTTTCATGCTCCTGCTCTGTTTTAGAAGGTTCGCTCCCCTTTTCTTGACGCTATTCAAAGTGGCGCAATCTATTCCTCTGTTTTAGAAGCTGCGTAGTTTGGTAATGGGACGAGAAGGAAAGGAAAGATCGGTGGTGTACGTTTGGTAAGAAATTTAGCAACTTGCCCTCTCTGTTTTGCGTAATTCAAGGCAAATCCCATTTAGAGTATACAACAAGATCATAAATAATCCAGCCTGAGAATCATATATGGAATCTCCCAGATGTTAAACGTTATGTCCGACAACAAAGTAGGTTTTACCTTGACAGGGGAAAGCCATGGCTGGCAAAACCTAAAGCAGAGGAACGTGAGTAGTAGTGACTATTGACCGGCCCCAGAATGAATGAGATAATATTGAGATGCTGCCTGTAAATATCTACACCGGTCGGTCGGACAGCATGGTGTAGAAGGACATGTGACATGTTTGACCTTTGCATTACACTAACTAGTGGTCATATAATCTTAGGACATGAACATGATCGAAAGGTTGCTTGTCAGAGACAAACTATTATATTTTGTAGACGACTCGCTTATTATTTTTCGTGATATAATTTTTTTTTAGATATCTCACAATAATCGTTGATGACGGATGCCGATTCATAGCACATAACAAATATGCGATCTCACTGTTTTGAATTTTGATGGAGCTAAACGAGGTAGAATTGTGAAACGAAAAGACGAGCAAAAAACTGTTAGCTGAGAATTCGTACTCTATGAGGTTTGAGTCTTCAACATGAACCCTCTTATTGGACATTGATGTCGTGCATTTTTCTTCCTTCCCTTAAACAAGTCACAAATTAACATACTTGTTCTCTATATATTGATAAAAGGATGAAAATTTCCATGTTAAATGGAACAAGGAGGGTTCGACAGTTGCGAGATACATATAATTGTCATTCCTACTGATAGATAGCTTGTCGCCTCAATCATTATTTTTCAATATCCAATGTAATATGAGGGGTTACTCATTTGGAGTCATGTTGTTATGGCTCGAAAACTTATTATTTGTCATCGACTTCAAAGTCATAGGGCCGAGCCTTTTGGAGATAGGTGTTACATGTACCTTCACAATCTCTGTAATATGTATCTTCTCAAGAATACTAAAACTAATAATTTCTATCCGTAGACATAACTAACACACATTGTATTAATAAATCATCTAAATATGCATTTTTTACTTTCTTACACTATCGATTTTCCGATCCATTAAAACAAGCCATATCCTATTCACACCAATTTCCATCCGCTATAGCTTTAGCAGGTAGCAGCAACCAAGCTCTATTCTTCCTGTGTTCCTATTGCTACTACCAACTACCAATCAACCCTCAATTTCTTTTCTTTATCACTTTTAGGAGGACCAACACCCAACACTCAGTTTTTTCTTCTAAATGAACCCTTGTTTTAGCAAGGGTGGTCTCTTTCGATAGATTTGTTTTAACCACTCTCCTCTCATGTTATTTAGTCTCTAAACTTCGTAGCTGACAACTGTTTGTTGTAGTTTTCTTTTGATTTAACAAATGTGGTTTATTAGAAATTTGGTGAAAATTGTCAACGCGTATAATCACTTTTCTGCAATTGTTTTCTTGTTAGTCAATTGTAAATAAATGCTATAGCTTTGGTAGTACGTACTTTTCCTCACTCTAATTATTTTTTATGTTGTGAGATAATTTGCCCGCGTCTCTTATTTAGAACTTAGAAGAAGGCCCATGCATGCACTTTATTCTCATTTCCAATGCCAATTTAGTCAAAAGAAGCACTCGTCTTATTGTTTTCATTGATTCAATTTATGGTGTTAAATCTCTAAAATAGCAGCCACCCTTTATGTAAAGATGAACTAGTGTTCTGATTTATATACAACCTTTAACTTTATTGACAAAACTATTCATCAAATATGATAAATATAACATGAAATCGGATACTACAGTAACAAACATAGCACACACCATCAACTCTCGAATTCCTATCGTCACAAATCGATTATAAAGAATAGCTAGACGGGAATGGTATAAAAGACACAATTCTCATCATTCATTGTGCATGTATGTCGCACACATAATAACACGGTCGAGCAGACATATTTTATAGTCTAATAACGATGTTAGATCTCCTATTGAAAATAAATAATCCCCTTGTTAGTCTCTCAAATCCTATAATTGAGAGTTGATTTGTGGATGTTATGAACAAATTTGTTGATGAAAATACATAAAATCGGTTTTAACGGTATGCTAGACAGTAGACACGTATGGAGGAGCCATTAATTGATGCGTCAAAAGTCTGCTTCCAGGTTAGGATGCACTAGCCATATATACTCACACGCGTGTTCTGCGATTTGGAAGCCATAATTGAATTGATGAGTGATTATAATTGAATGGAAAAGGTAACCAAATGAGCAGGCGATTTGACAAATATTATCAGCTTCGCAATTACAACAATGGTTGGTTCCTACTTATCTTTCAACCTTCTTTCTACACGCACCAAATCACAACACCACAATCTTAAAATCGTTTCAATTTATCTTTCAAATAATTATAGGCAAAATACAGGTGTATATCCACAACTATCAGGTTTGTGACAAATATATCCACAACTATTGAAATACACAAAATATCCAAAAATCGAAAAGTTGTGTGACAAATCTATCCACTTCCGTCTGAAACTATAACGGCGTGTCGGACGGCGTTAAATTGACTAACGGAATGCTGAATCGATGTCATCTCACCTGCCACATAAGCCAAAAAGCAACCAAACTTTACACATAGATGCCAAATAGGCTAGTTGAATAAAGGCAAAATACAGCTGTATATCCACAACTATCAGGTTTGTGACAAATATATCCACCAGTATCAGGTTTGTGACAAATATATCCACAACTATCGAAATGCAGGAAATATCCATTTCCGTCCACTTCGTTAACTCTGTCAGTTAACTTGATGACTGGACGGACGATGGATGCTTAGTTGGCGTGTTTCTGGCCCCACTAAATGACGTGGATTAAAAGAGGAAAAAAATTTAAAACCCCTAAAAACCACAGACGACGAAGCTAAAAATCCAACCCAGAAACATGTTTGATAACCACTTATCCTCCTCCGATCGACGGCTCCACCCCCAATCCCCAACCATTGCCTCCCTTTTACTCCGACAGCTTCCATGCAGTCGGCGCCATGGTGAGACCAAGCTTGAATCTCAAACAAAAAAAACTTGAATCTAACCAAATCGCCAACAGAGAAGACTGCAGAAGCGAGGTCTAACAGATAACGGTGTAAAGTTTGGTTACTTTTTGGCTTATGTGGCAGGTGAGATGGCATCGATTCAGCATTCCGTTAGTCAATTTAACGCCGTCTGACACGTCGTTATAGTTTCAGACGAAAATGGATAGATTTGTCACACAACCTTCCGATTTTTGGATATTTCGTGTATATCAATAGTTTTGGATATATTTGTCACAAACCTGATAGTTGTGGATATACAACTGTATTTTGCCTAATTTTTCTCTCTTTTAATCCACGTCATTTAGTGGGGTCAGAAACACGCCAACTAAGCATCCACCGTCTGTCCAGTCATCAAGTTAACTGACGGAGTTAACAGAATGGACGGAAATGGATATTTCGTGTATTTCGATAGTTGTGGATATATTTGTCACAAACCTGATAGTTGTGAATATACAGCTGTATTTTGCCTAATTATTAAGTGGCGCATAAATCATAATCTTCTTTTAATTCGCCTCAGCTGCTAACATCCTTGTTTCTTCCTTTACTTCAGATGGCCGGCTTCTTCTTCAGGTGACTATGAAAATAACATCTGTTGAGTTCAGTATCGTCGAAACTAATGGATGCATGTAAACTAGGAGAAGCTGTCAATTCCTTTTTTATTTATTTAATCAAACTTCGAGCCCTTGGTCACAAAAAAAAAAAAAAATTGTAATTAATAATTGAAATATGGTCCAATCAAATTTTGTTCATCGTTGAATTTGATGCGCTCGCATTAATTACTTTATGATTTGGTTACTGTCAATGATATATAGACCGTTCCCTCTCATGAGTTGTCAACCTCCATAATGCTATTATGCAAAACTACTGGAGTACAATTGTTTTGTGTTTGATTTGAAACCGTTGAAGAGTTTTTATTTAAGTTCATTTATAAAGATAAGTATGTAAATTTCATAAGAAAATTATATTAACAACCAATAACTCAACAATAAACGAGAATATTGAATGACAATGAACTAGATAGGTATTATCATAAATGAATGCAAGACGGGAAATGAATGTTGTATTTGTGCATAAGGTTCGAGTAGTATATTAAGAAGAAACAATATTGGGCTCGGGAATTGATGTTATGGAGTCACATAAAAAACAAAATAAATATATACAAGTTCAGAATTCAAACATCAAGAGTATAATGAGTTATTCGGGTCAAAACAATTCGCGTAAAAATATTACCCAAACGAATCGATACAGACACAACCAGCAAAAAGCATGCATGAGACCGCACAAATTAGGATGGTTGATGGCAAGTCTTGCTTTGATTAACAATAACTCCGACGCGTTTCCCCCCAATCAACAGTGCTAGCAAGCTAGCCCGGAAAAAGACTGGTGGTTGATTTTTAAGTTCTTTGATTCAGTTTGGACTTTGAATTGTTGCTCATCCTATATAACAAGTCAATGGATTGGTTTGTTGCCTTATTTGATGTGCATCTCTCTCTAGCTAGTAAAAGATGCCATCTCATCTCCTCCAGTGTTTTGAATACAGAGAATGACAATACCATAGTCCATATTTATATATGGTTGGGCCAATCTCAGCCTATTGGACATTGTAGCAGTTGCTGGTCCAGGGAGAGTTAGGAAGGGGACTGACTAAATACAAAGGCCCTGCTTGAAGTGGGTCCATGGGCCACTTTTCCATCCATAATATAACAAACTACTTTTTATTTTTATTTATGAATGATATTAGAAGTGATATATCTTGGAAATAGGTTCTTTGATCTAAGCATTGTTGGATGGAGTCTTGGTGGAAAGCAACAAACGTTTGGGTTTATAAGGAAATTGGGCTTTATCAAATTAGCCCATTTTTCAAATCAGTAAATTAACAATAGACGAGCCCACGGTACCCTTCATCCTCTTTTTAAGAGAAATAAAGCCCAAAGAGAGAACTCATGATTTTTTAGTGGCAAGAAGACAATGCAGGAAAAAGGGAGGTACCGCGTAGTTTTCTCAGTCATGGCTCACAACGTTCTCGTTTCTGCAAAAACAAATGCAGGAAGAATGCTCAAATTCACAACAAAGTCATGGGAATGACCATTACATTGCTTCTGTCGAGGGAGCCCTACTACGGGATGTTGAGGACAAGAAGTGCAATGAACATCCCTTTATATCGAGTGATCAACGCTATTAAGAAGCTCTAGCAGTACTTTTCATGAGCGCCAAGTTGCTAATCTCATAAAAGCTAACAATCTGGCTTGCACCAATGGCGGATGGAATTTGCTGCCAGCACTATTATAAGATCGCCAAGCCTACAAAGTGAGACCGTGTAAGAGAGAGTATAGTGAGATTCTAGAATACTTGGAGAGACGAGACTGCTAAATGACAAATGAAGAAAACTGAAGTGAAATATATTCTTATACCTCACATTTAACCCAACGTACCAGTGGCAGTGAGGTCAACACCAACGGAACATGCGACCGGGAAATTGTCGTTGGGCCCTCTGCAATTACTCATGCTGATTAAACAAGACCTCCACGTTTGGGGCCAATTTCATCCACCGCTGGTTCAATCCTGTATTTGGGCCTAGACCCAACAGTGCAACACTTATATATAATTTTTACGTTGAAGTTATAGATTCATTTTTCACTAAACGTCGACAGTTCTTTAGATAATTTCTCAAAATCCTCCTACAACATAGAGATTTAGTAAGCACGCACCCCTTATAGGTTATATAAGCTCAAAGCCTAGTTGTATTAATCGTTGCCAGCATCAGAAATATCTATATATTTCTACAAACCGATCACATATGATCTATAGTACACCGATTCTTACACTTGTGCTTGTAAGACTTTTTTTTTTCTTAAAATATCTAGACAGCATCATAAGATGGCGTCCGGAAAACCGTCTGTCAAGTTAAGTCGTAAGACTTTTTTTTCTTGAAAATCTAGACTAAGCGTCATGGAAACCTTTCATCAAGTTAAGTCGTATTCATAGATTGATTTGTATCTTCATATCAGCACAGAAACGACAAAAATTGGATGAATTGTTACTTTGTATTTTGGTTCCTTGAATCTATTTCATTAAATGTAAATACAATGAGATAAAACTTGAACACCCGATCTATTTTCATCTGTGGTAGGTAGAACCCAATTAGACTAATACTCATCTGTTACAGTTGTTGCAGTTAGTGAGCTAGAATAGCGGACCAAATCACAGGTACGAAGGCGAAAACAATGCAACTCTTTTATCTGTAACCAAGTTAAGAAGAGTGCTTAGTGTATGGGAATTTCCGCCCAAAAACACAGAAACTAATGGTGTTTTCTCGTTGTACGCAGCCGAGCGTGAGAGAGACCAGCAAGAAAAGAAACCCCATTTGGCAACGTCGTAATCCATCTATTTATCTATCTGTTGGCACAAACAACCCATTACCTACGTGACGCACAAAAAATCAAATCGGTACAACCAAATTACACCAACAAAAAGGCAGCTTCGGTGGGTTCTTCCGTTTTCCCATATGCTGCCATTATTGTAATTCAAAAGTCCCCTACCACATTGCCTTTTCTTTCCCGTAACTCATGCGTCACATGTCCAATAATTTCTGCCAATGTCTTAGTCCCAACAATCACTACCTTGGCTCTTCATTATTCTTTTTCCTCAACAAAATGGTTGAACACAAATTCTAGTCTACTCACTTTTCAACCACTTTGGATAGTGTACTCGAATTCCTGTAAAGTCTATATTTGATGATAATAGATCTTGTGTTCGATCTGCCTGCCCGATTGACATGTGTTTAGTATTTGTTCAGCTTCCTCTCAGTTTGATACAGTTGCAGGTGCGGAACGTAAAGATGCTTTTATGTTCACAAAATTTGTCGATAGATAGAAAATGTTCACAAAACTTGATTTACATGATTGATCAACTATTTGCTTACTTAATAGTTAATACTTAAAATAAGACTAAAATATATCAAAATTAAGAAATCAACCAATCGTTGACATAAAATGCGAATAATTGGGATGGAATCCAGGCACATAGCTTAATCTTTTCCACAAAAAAAAAAAAAAACAGTAGGACGCTCCCCTTCCATTTCAATATTCCAATATCCCTTCCCTTGTATTATTGAAGGGCAAAGGTAGGGTACCCTACCCCACATGCCAGCCAGCAAACTTGAAAGCTCCCTAATGCAAATGCTTTCCCCATCTGGGCCGCCGCAGGTTCTGGCCTTCGACATTTCCAAAGGGCCCAGGGCCCATAACCCATAACCAAACAGACAAAACCCAGAACCAGCAAACGAACATGATCCACCCCACCCCCACTATACCACAATTCTACCCATCCAGTTCAGTTCTGCAATTCTTATGAACTAACAGCAAAATGCTTCGATTGATAACCCCAAGTAAAAGAACTTAATTAGGCTACAAGATTACAAAATAATTAGCAAAGACAAAATCAAATTTGGTTCATTCATCCCTCCCCAAAAATCAAGCAACGGGAAATAATTTTCTGTAATCAATGTTCCGAAATAATCTTCCATCGTTCTTACTACCGATGGATTCCGTTCCTATTCCCGGCAGCAGTCGCCCACCGGACCAGAAGCTTCAGTATCGCCGTCGACAACATTATAAATCCATTTCCATGTGTTTAATAGAGGCCCAACGTTTTAGAAAAATATATACATACAGATAACTGCCGGCCGAATTCACGCGACTTCGCCGCCTTTCCTGATCCTGCCCCACAGTTTGACCCCCGGTCACCGACTTATCCTCGTCGCCGAAGTGGTCACGATGAAAGACGGCGACCGACTGCTCATCCGTCTAGATCTCGAAGCTGAGCTCTCCCCCATGCCGAAACAAGCAAACCAGTGACGGAAAACCCGGCCCAGGCCAAGCACCCCGCCGCGGTTGCTGCCGCTGCCGGCACCGATGTTGTCCCTCCGGGTTCGGCTCCCTCTCGATCCCCACGAGATCCGCCGAGGCAAGCCTCCGTTGGTGTTGCTGTTGTTGAATCCGCCGTCCATTTCTGTGTAGACAACCGGGAGCTCCCTTTCTCCCCTCATGGCTCCAGTGAACCGCCCCACCGCGTACCCGCCGCCCGGTAACCTCCAGATCGTCAGCCCGACCGCTTCTTCCTCGCCGGTCTCGCTCGTGCCCTGCTCGCTGACGGATCGGTCTTCGTCCGCAGCAGGCAACTCGTGGCGGCAGACAGGGCACGAATTGCGGAGAGAGAGCCAGGGGAGGATGCAATCGGAGTGGTAGAGATGCTTACACGGCATTTCCCGGGCCTCCGATGCGATCTCGAAAGCGTCCATACACACCGCGCAGTGAGACTCCGTGGAGGTGTGCCTCTCGTTGATGATTACCGTCGGCATCGATTCGATTGCCGCCTTCGACGCCGGGGGATGGTCGTACCGACTCAACCCGTTCAATTCGATCTGCGACAACTGGTCCAGCAGCCGCTCGAATCCAGATCCGAGCAGAAACTCCGACATGCTCGGCGGCAGCGGCCTCAATCCAGAACCGGCGCCGTCGTCGTAATACAACTCGAATCCACGGCCTCCGCCTCCTCCGCTCTCGCCGCCGTTGCCGGTACTAGTGAAGCTATTCCCACTCTGGCTCCCACTGTCCGCTCCGCCGCGGAGCACGATGACCGGATTAATCGGCGATCTGTCCCCTCCTCCGCCACCGTTCCGCCTTCCACCGACTCCTCCCCGGACCCCGCCTCTTCTCTGCTCCGGCATGAACATAGCCGCCGGGAAGCCCCGGCGTTGGGGGCGCGTCTCCGTCGGAGTCATCTGAGGAGGATGCTCGATCTCCTCCACAAACCCGGTCTCGCAATTGGGGCACGAAACTGGATCGTCGTCTTGCTGCGCCTGGCTCCACACTCGGACGAATCTGTTGCAGCGGTAGCACCAGTAGGAAGGTCTGGGCGACGACATGAGAATGAATCTGTGTCTATGATTATTGATTTCTTTTTCCGGCGTTCAGATCTGAAAGGGGAAAGTTAACCACGGCGAAGACCGCCTTTGTTGGAAGAGAGGAAAAAAGGGAAATTCAACGGGAGAGAGAGAGAGAGAGAGAAAAATTTAGTGGTGGGAGAAGAATGGATGATTATAAGAGAGAGAGAAAGAGGGTGAGTTGAGGAAGGAAAGCATCCAATCTAACGGCGTAACCCGCGTCGACAGTGTTAGCGTTTGACGGGGGGGGGGGGTGGGGGGGGGGGGGGGGGGGGGGGGGGGGGGGGGGGGGGGGGGGGAGGACTGAAGAGGGTGGAGTGACGTGACCGAGGGGGTGCTCTTAACGACGTTTATATGGGGCGTTAAAAGAGGGAGGATTCCTTTTGTTTCTAATTATTTAAATTTTGTTTTGTTATGGAGATTGGAGAACACAGCATTTAGCACAGCGTTTGGTAATTGTTTGTTTGGGTGCCATCCAGCTGTGGGAAATGTTCCCCTGGATTTGCGTGGTCGCAAACATGGTGCGGAATATCATTAACCCTACCATACTATTATTACAAAAATAAATAAATCTATGATAAGAAATCGACAAACATTTTTTTTAATATAGAATTTGGCGAGATTCATGAAATTGTATTGTACAGACACTTCAACTACAAAATACTCATATTGGAGGTTAAAGTGTAGATGGTAATTAAGGTACTAATGGTTAAATTACGATTAAATCACGATGTTCTATCGTTGACTTTTTCGGTATAGTTTCGTAAACCATGGAGTTGGGTGTATCTGGACAAGTGTGAATGCAGTTGGAAATTGTGTGTGTGATTTTTAATTACACTCAATAATTACCATCACAAACACTTTATGCTATCATAAATTGGATAAGAGGCATACAATCTCAAATGTTGAAATATGTAAAATTGGTACATGTTTACTTGTGGGCTAAATTGCAAGTTTGTCACTCAAATTACTTTAAAAAAATCATTATTCAAAATTACTTCAACCAATTGTGTTTCTCGTCGAGAACTACAAATACCTGGATGTCCACGTAGGCTTTAACTGGTCACACATGCCATATGACTTTAGGTCTAAGTAGCCTATATAGGTTTACTTAGTTTGCGAACTAAACACATCCGGATTACGATAAAGATAGGGCTGAGTAGAAATCGATATGATATGATATCACTTGTGTTTTGTAACATCCATATTTTTTTTAACAAAATATTATTAGCTTTCACGGTTTTGATATTAGGGTCTTATAAGGCCACTTATCATTGTAAAGTTTCAAAATGAGCATGTTTAATTTTAAAATTCTTACAATAACTCTTTCATTTCACCCTAAAATACGCCTTTCAATTAATATCGATTTCTTACTATTTATTATAAATCATAAATTTCCCCAATACTTATCGACAATAAGTAGATGTGAATTCTAAAAAAAGTGACCCACTAAAAATCGCAAATGCGAGTTGATTGTACGATCCATCCAACCTTTTAACATCAAACCAGCAAACCTCTTTTTTTTTTTTTTTTGAGTAAGAAGACCTGGATTTTTATTACTGATTCATGGTTGAAGGATTACAGTCTGAAATAAGAATAGGGGAAAGGAAAACAGGTGGGCTAGAGGTCCAAAGCTCCTCTTCCTCCCAATTACATAGTGTGTGAGCCATCAGGTGGGCTGCTCTATTTGCTTCTCGGCCCACAAAAGTGATGTTCAGCCCGCCAGCCTCAAGGAGCTGGACCCGCAATTCCTTACACACTTCTGCCATTTCCGTTTCATCCTCATCCTCATTCTGTATTCTCTGAACCACCACCAAGCAATCAGTTTCAACCAATCCAGGTAAAAAATTGTACCTCTTCGCCACTTCCAAGCCAAAGGAGATCGCTGCCGCTTCTGCAAATTCGGGGAGCCATTGTCGTCTCGTGCGCTTCACCCCTGCTAGACAGCACTCGCCGTTCGCGTCTCGTATCACCACCCCGAAACCAGATCCATTTCCTTCAAAAATGGCGGCATCCACATTAATCTTGAAGCTCCCCGCCGGCGGCGACTTCCACTGCGTCGATTTCTTTCGTTCGCCTCCAGCAGGTATCAATTGGTGCCTTTTGTACTCTTCTAACCACTGCATGGCCCGATCGATAATCTCCCATTCCTCTTTTTTCTTGTTATTCCACAGATGGCAATTCCTTTCCGCCCAGATGAACCATAGAGCTACTAGGAAGTTTCCAATTTCGTCCGCCGACTCCATCTCTTGCAAGGCACAAATCCACTCTTCACAGGTTAGTTCTTCTTCTTCATTTAGCATTCTTCTGATCAATGTTGGTTGCCAAACTCTCCGAACCCACCCACAGTCCCTGAATAGATGTACCTGCGTTTCCTTAAGCCCACAGAACGGACACTCTTCGTTTCCTCTCTTAGTGCGATCCACAAGGTTACCTCCAGTAGGTAGAATGTTGTTAATCCACTTCCAAGCGAACACTCTAACCTTTGGGGGTATCTGAAGTTTCCAGATTTGGTTCCAATTCACTGGCACATACCTTTCACCAGCAAACCTCTTAAACATATCTATTTAACCAAAATATAACACTCAAACATCATATATTATTTTGTTTCTAGAAACCTGCGGCAAGAAACTTTGAATAGTTTGATCACACGAGAAGGAGTTTTCGGCAACCTTCTCTTCACACTTGGAAACTTCACCTTTTTTGTTCCTCCCTCGTTGAGTAAGGAGAGTATTTTTTTTTATAAGGATAGTATAAGTTTGGACTTTTGTTATTAATTAGGTGTAATTATATTTAAGCAGAGTATTTTTTTATAAGGATAGTATAAGTTTGGACTTTTGTTATTAATTCGGTGTCATTTAAGCGATTTGAATTTTGAATCTTCAAATTCAAAATTAATTGTATTATCACTAAACCAAATTTTTATTGGACTACATTTGACCAATTAGCTGATAATTAGTAGTAGAACCCAGATTTGTATTCTATGCCCCTCTCCCATGAATGAGGTAAGCAATGGCGTTGAATGGTCCAATTGCTCACGTGGTTAGTTCTTGGGAAGACGCTCGAAAATAATGCAAGAAAAAAGTAGCTGGTTAGTTGGGAAGTTGGGTGGATGCTGAACTTGGAACCTAAATTGTTGTCTAGCACTCTAGCTTAATTACTTATTATTGCCTTGCAACTTCATCTTTACACACATGTTATGGTCTTGAAATCTCGACAAGCACGTATCTTCTAGTGCACGAAATTTCCAATTCTAAGGATGGTCAATGATCTTCTGGTTGCTAGATTCCAGAGACCAAATAGATTTTTTAAATCCATGGATTCATGTAGTTGTTTGATGTGTATTGTATAGGTTCAGGGAGTGTTTGGGGTGAATTAATTTGACTTCTCATCATATATGCGACATTAATACAAACACTTGTAGAGGTGTAAGATAAGGACTAAAAATTGGGAGACAAGGAAAAAGATTTCTACCATGCCCTCACAAGATATATATAGAGTTACAACTGACAGTATATTTGAGAATATGTACAAATGGATGGGATAAATGCAATTTCGAATATTTTTCAATAGTTATAAGAGAAAGTAAATGGAAGGCAAGTTTATTGTTCTCGTCTACCTCAATTTCGATTGTAAATATTTTTTTATAAAAAAAACATTATTATGAACATTATTATATATAGACGCTGTTCGGGGGCAATCGTTTGATTCCGATGTAAATTTAGCTTCAATTGTTGACACGCCATACAAGCTGGTCAGTTGTTGACTCTGGTTATTATTTGATATGTTGGTTTAACAAACATGTCAACAATTTAATGTGCGAGCCTTGTTATGATGAGCTAGCTATATGTCTTGGTCATTGGATGGATTTCGATCAGACTCATTATTCTCAAGGTTGCTCGACCAACTATTATTTAAATAGGTCTAACAATAATATTTCATATCTATTTATGTGTGTGAATATTTTACGGATAATACTTTTTATAAATTGTATTTATAATCATTTAGTATACATACATTTCACTCCAATTCACACACTCTTATTCCTCCATCCAAATAACAAATTTTGTCCCTCCAATTACCCATCCGACTTTAAATCCGTCCTCAAAATTTCACCGCCGAACATAGTGTATAAGATGCCAATTTTGGAATAATGAAAAAGAATACAAACGCTAGGGAGAGTCCACCTCTTCTAATCAACTGCCGCGTGCTTCTTTCGAGAGTAAAAGACAAGGCTGCTGATGAGGTTGTGGCCCCAAGAATGTAACAACGCAAAACAGAAGCAGTCGACTTACAAAGATAAGTTTTTTTTTTTTTTTTTTTTTTTACAATGGGTTAAATTTCATTCATGAAACGATTTTAGTACAAGCGTAGTCATTTACAACAAAAGTGAAATAAGATTAAGGATTTGAACCCATTCTGTGGGAAGAGATCATTTTGCTGTTTCTCTTACAAAGATAAGGTTAAAGACGAGAGATTGATTTCATGCGAGCTCAGACAGAGACAGGCAGCAACGATGATATATAGCCTTGTATGCGGCTTTTGTATAGAACTGTAATCAATTGTCTTTTGTTTTCTCGAGTCACAATGAGGTTAATTTATCAAAGGACCACCATGCGATATTAGAAATTGCAATAAGTGGACTTATTGGGTATCTTAATAAATTTTCATAATTTATATGAGTATTGGGTCCGACTAAAATGAACTTATATACATTTTTAATGAATCTGAATTGGGTTTGAATTGTATCCTATTTAAATAATTTTTTTTGATAAAACCCAAATGGGTCTGGTTAAGTTGGGTAGAGATTGTTGTATCAAGCATTCCATTAATCTCAAAAAGCATGTATGATGCCTTGCAATGGAAGCATCTTTGAGATCAAAACTTAATTAGTCTCGCCTATCTGAACCACAATTCATCAACCCTATTTATATTTGATCATATGTACGAGCATACTTATTGTTCGACCAAATATTGATCAAAACTAGACCGAAATGATAAATATATATGGTAAACAGTACAACTTACAACATCTGCTATCGTGAAATTGCAGGGAGTAAAAGTGCAAAACTTAAAAAAAAAATTTGATTTACGTTCTTACTAGTTAATGGTACTGCCAAATTGGCGATCAGGTAGATATTGGTAGTTGTAGCAACTGTGAAAATTAGACAATCGAAGGTAAAATGTATAAACTAAAATGTTGGATTCGAAGGAATGATGAAAGCAACATAACTTTGGTAATTTCTTGGTGAACTATAAAACGCACATTTGTGACATAGGGACAATGGTACTAATGGGTGGTCATACTGGCGGCACAACTTTTATTCAATATTGCCCAGAAATATTAATAATAATAACAACAATAATTACACACAAAACAAATATTCGTAACACCCAAAAACAAATTAATTAAAAAGGATCATATTCCCAAAAACAAAAGAATACAAGCCCCAGCAGGAAGATTAGATATACTCGTAATTACAATAAAAAGAATTAAAAATTGGAACCCACCCACCCACCCAAATAAAATAAAAAAACTTACTACTGAGTACTTAACCTTTAGCCAAACCAACAATTTGGTCCTTAAACTCTTAAAAATTAGCTCTCGAGGACTCCAACCCTAGATGTTACAACATCAATCCAACAAGAAGGGAATAGGCTTTCAAATACACAAGAACCAAATTGTCAATTTACCAAAATTCAAAACTCCAGTAGTAGTTTTCCAAAAGAAAAATAAACAAATGCACGAATGTATGTAACCTTTATTCTGTGTAGAAAGTCGATCGTCTCTATCAACCCAACCAAATATATCGTGAAGCGTGGCTAATGGAAAAATGGGGTGAAGGCGCTGACAACCTTCTTGGCCTGATCCACAATCGACATATACGACACCGTCCCATCATTCCCCGCCAGAACCCGATACTTATCCTTCCTCGTAAAGTTGGTGCACTCGAACCCCAACGTCGCCGCCAAAATCCTCTGCACGTAATTCGCCACGTCATGCGGGCTCTTCCCTGACGAACACGTGGCCTCGGCGGGCAGCTGGTTCAAGAAAGTCACCTCGTAGACGGGCCTCGGGTTCATGAAGAAGAATATCGGGTCCAGGCCCTTCCACCCTCTCGCCGTCGTGGCGTGGAAGAACCCGACCCGATAGTTCATCGCCACGGGCACGATCCGGTCCGTCAGCTCCGCGAAAAGCGCGCTGAACCGGAGGAGGAACGGCTCCCTACACGTGGTCCCCTCGGGGCAGACCACGAGATCGCCCTGGCCCAGCTCGCGCTTGATTTTCTCGGCGTCCACCTCGCGAATTCTCGTGAGACGGACGGTCGGGATCGGGGACAAAATCTCGGTGAGCCGCGAGATGGAGTAGGTCACGGCCGGGATGCGGCGGCGGAGGACGGTGGCGAGGACCACCGGGTCCATGAGGGTGCGGTGGGTGCACACGAAGAGGACCCCGCTCCGGCTGCCGTGGGCTGGCGGCGGAGGCGGCTTCCCCTTGACGATAACTTGGCCGCCGAGTATGCGGGACATGTAGGGTTTGGCCCAGAAGGGAAGCATGGTCCCCACCGTCATTCGGACGACGGCCAGGACGATGCCAAGTGGCATCCATAGGATGATGAGGAGAGCCGTGGCGGCCGTCGGCCGCTTCACGAGGCGGCCGTCGTGGAAGATAACCGGGAGTGGCCGTACCAGCTGTGGGTTTTGAAGGTCCTCGTTGAACGTGAATGGTGGGTGCATTTCTTCCTGCATGGTGGTTTGGTCAGGAAAAAGCGGTTAGTTCGGTTGGTTCTCCAAAAAATTAATTCATACACAACAAAGAAACTGCATTTTCTACGAACGAAAAAAGAAATAGTGAAATGGTACTCTATTTACCCTGCAAAGTGACAAGAAGCTGGAGCCTGAACCAGTTCGCCTCCCAAGTCCTAAACCGGGCAACTCGTCGTCAACATGGCCAAACAGTTTATCAACCTGGCTCAAGATGAACACATCAAGATCGCCCCCATCCTTGACCAAACCGGTAGCGTAACCGAACCGGTTCACCGCGAGCTCGGTCCCGATAACTTCATGTGCACTCAAGTGATCCTTGACGAACCTCTCCACCATGAGCTTGGGCATCTTAGTCACAACCACCCGTTTTTCACGAGAGCTGAACACCCTCCATGCTCCCATGTCGACGTCGTCCATGTAGAATTTGGGAAGCACGGCTCGAGCCACGGACTCGATCTCGGAGACTCTAACGCCAACCGTGGCGACGAAGATCATGAGCTTGAGCCCTACGTCTCTCATCCCGACGGCCTCGAGCAGCTTGATGAGCGGCCAGAGGAGGAGGAGGACGAGGAAGCGGAGGAGGCCGGAGGCCTCGAAGGCGACGAGCATGAAGTAGGAGAAAGGGTCGGGGTCGTGGAGGAGAGTTCCTTCTAGTTCTGCCACGGCGGCGGCCTCCATTGTGTATGGAGAAATGTGTTGGCTAGCTTAGCTCGAGTGGTTTGGTTTTTTTTGGGGTTACGTTGATGAGAAGGAGATGGTTTAATTTAGTTTAGGGTTTATATTTGTTGGGAGGGTGGGAATTTTGTGGGAGGCGGGTTATCGGTTTACAACTAACGAATGATGCGATTGGGATTTATATAGACGTGAGAGAGGGAGATTTGAGGGTGGATAGATCTGCAAAGAAGATGGGGTTATACGCCACGTTATTATAACACCTCCGCGGAATTTGGTTGGTTAAAAGGAAAAACAAAAACACAAGTGGACTTTTTTTTTCTTGTTCTTCTTCTTTGCTGATTCATTAGCTTTATTGTTTAATTAGGGGGGCACAAAAGTATAGTAGATTGATAACTTAATCCCAACAACTTGGCCTAACTCTGTGCTGAGGGTATAGTTGTGTATATGTAGATACGGCACCGTATGAACTGCGAAGACATGTATACATACATAATGATACCTATAGAGTATAGTTTGGATTTTGGAAGTTGGCCACCTTTAATTACAGTTTCTTTCTTTCTTTTTTCTTCTTTTTTATTTTGAGATGAGAGTAACATTTTAGATAAACGATTAGATGCTGGAGAGATTCATAATTTATAATTAAGAAATAAATTTTAAGTGACAAAATGTATTTCGAGATTAAATGGAAGTTCTCGAAATTTTTTTGAAGTTAACCTTTCTCATTATGAAGCAATGCAAAAACGATTGACCTATTGAAAATTTACCTTCATATATACACTCAAAATAGACAATATTTTTAGTCGGAGAAATGTTCGGAACATTCCAACAATAGCTACGATATGTTAATTCGAGCCTCCGCCGCAGCCAGCCGTTTAGTTGGACGTATATACAAGGCCCTGGAGAATTAGGTCACTAACTTGAAGCCGAAAGGGGAGAAGAGATGGCAAACAAGTGGCAAGCCAAAGGTACATGTGTCTGTGTGTTTATGCGAGTCAATTATTATTAACTAAGGCGATTAGTTATATAACATTTCAAAAGTATGACATATTCAAATTATTATTATTATTAGATTAATAATGTTGCAAGAGCAATTTGAACGTCGTCTTCTGATGCCACATACGTTGCTTTGCTGCGCAGAAATTACATCCGCTGTATAATTTCTTCATTCAGAAAAGGAAATCTGCATTTTGTGATCCTCAATTGGTCAGTATTTGCTCGCATGTGCCATTATGCAGATTGCCACGTGTGAAGCCGAGAATCGAAGCATGCGTCAAACCGTATATGGATGTGAATGGCTGCAAGCTTAGTAACTGGCGACAAGTTTTAGTGCACGAATTAATTATAGTGTCTGGAAGTTGGAAGCATGCATGCAGGAAAAGAAGGGCCACCCGGCGTGCATATCTGAGACAGGCAGGCTAGGGGGAAAGTGAGACTGTCGTGAATAAGAATAATTCCTTAGTATAAGAAATTAAAGCAAATTGATGGAAGAATACTACTAACTTTTACGTTCAAGTAAATAAAGCGGGTTAAATGTGTTAGTGTTGTCGTATATGATCTATGATTGAACCTCTCTCAAAAACTCGAGTTATTGGGACCAACCGGTTCTTGACAAAATGTTGGTATCTAGCTAGCTGTTGCCTAGGGTTCCTGCCTTCGTATATGAAGGGAAATGAAATAACAAGCTAGCTCAATAAATCAGGAAGTAACATCAATGTAAAATGTGTGGTATTGTATGAATATCTCAACAACTCAAGTTATTGAGACGAATTAGTAGTTAATCGTAACTTGTGTTCCCCTCACTAATTTCTTGATGTCAGTTCCTTAACATGATGAGTGTGAGAGATTTTTGCGACCATTTAATATTTATAAAGAAGAAGTGAGGTTACTGTTGCCTAATAAATTACAACTTAGTACCTCACTTCTTCTTTATATATACATTAAACCTCACTTCTTCTTATATTTTACATTTTGATACTCCAAATTTAATTAAATTATAACTTAGTCACTATAATATACATTTTACATTTTGATACCCAAATTTAATTTTAATGTAAAATTATTGAACAATTATGTTTTGGTATCTATATTTTATGAGATTTTTTAAATTTACACATTGGTCCAATGCTTACATATTGGTCCAATGTTTAGATTTCACTTGAATTCATGAATCTAATCCACCAATCATTTTGAACCAATCCATGAGTCCAATCCACCATAACATAAAAGTATAAATTTAGTTTGTACCATACAATATGTTGTATCACTCAACAGTAGGAGAAGATTCGACCATTTTATATGTGCTCATTATAAACTTATTTAGTACATTTATGGGGTACTAAACAAGCTTCTACTAACTACAGTCTACATGTAACAAAATATGTGACATCTACATAATTTAGTGTCAATAAATTACTACGGCGAAAAGGGTTGACTGTAGTATTGACAACCAACTAAAAGAATTGGTCAAAACCTTTCCATCATCCACTTCCTCTTCGTTTCATTTCTCACTCGCCTTCCATAGCCCATTCTTTATTTCTTTCTTTGCCTTCTTCGTTCAACCCTAATTAGTATACTATTATTTTTATGCATTCTAATCACAAGTATGAACGAGTCCATGCATGACTGACCAACAGTCTAAAGAATTAATAATTGAAACATGAACCATTAACTTTTTCAGTTCAATGTCGAGTCCAATTAAAAGTAGATATATATGGTTATTACTTATTAAAAAGTTGTCATTTTCTACTACGGGATTTGAAGGCGTGAAATTTTAAGCGAGTTCCAATTTGTATTCCTTTTATTTGTCTCTAGAGTTTTTCTTTTTCACCCGGGCTAGAATTTTCAACAATTATACATGGAATGTTTGGCTATGTATCTACACATATTACATAAATAGTTTTCATTTTCTATAAAATAAAGTAAATAATTATCATATTAAATACATCACTATAGAAGGAATTAAGCATCAACTATGAAAATTATAGTTCAGTACCTAAACATAATAGATCTTTAGATTTATAACCTAAATTTATTTTTTTGACATATAGTCCTCAAAATATTGTTGGGACATACCTTTTAGTACCTATAATTTTTTGTGTATTACATTTTGGTACCTAAACTTTTGAAGTTATATAAATAGGTCTAATTTTTGTATGTGTAAATAAAATACTCTCGAATAAATGGGTATTCATACCCAACTCATACATATTTAGATTATGGAAGTAAATATTCATATCCTACGCAAACCCATCTACAAACTCTTAAACTCATATATACGTCACTCATACCTACCCAAAATCAATTGGTCTACTTGGGTTTAGGTAAATATCATCTATTATCCAAAATTTTCAAAAAATTAAAAATAAATTGGATGTTGACTGCCATATTTCTCAGTCAATATTACTAATAAAACTGTTAACAAAAAATTAATTGTAGACTAATAATACTAACAAAACACTATAACGGGCTATATAATACATGTCCATATGTCATGTACGCGTCGCGACAAGTCGCGGCATCGCCACCTATTATACATTAAAAATCAAGATAGGTAAGCGGTTAACTGCAGAGACAAACTTGTCATGCAAACTTGGTTGGTAAAATGTATATGTGAGAGATTAAACAAAGACGTACTGTTACTCAGCAAATCGATCAAGAAAGACAAAGGGAATAATAACAACTAACAAGCTATTCCATTCCCTTGAAGATATATACAGCGTTGCGTGTGGGTTGGGCTGATGAACTTGTTGAATTTTAATTTCATAAAACTATATATCATTCCTTGTTTGGACCAAGGGATATATCATATTGTTGCATCGGATTTGGGCGGCTTGTCTTGTCTTGTCTTGTGCCAAATATAATGCAAGGCAAAATTCAGCTATCTGCCTAGAAACACACTTGTGGGCTGTGGGGAGAGCTTTGTTTTGTATTGTAGGCGTGAGGGAGTGAGTATATATGAGTTAGGTTAGGTGGGTGTTTGGTTGGAAAAATTGGGAATGTCTTTGTTCAGGGAAACTGATCACCTGTCAAGAAGGAGAATTAAAATAGAAATCATCCAAACACAACAACAACAAGAAGATCATCTTCTTCGTCTGTTTGAACCACACAAGTGGCTCAACTACATACACACACTTTTTTTTTCTTGGGGACAATTGAATAAAGAATTGTAGAAGGGGAAATCTGGCAAGAAATACTAACAATCTAGCTAACTAGCTTTAGAAGATGTTATGATGGCGCAAGCTACATCGCGGGAATAAGTCATCAGCAAATATGTTGTTGCAGGAGTGGCAAAGCCACTTACCACATACCGCCCTCAATTTGCAATTTTTTCGTTATAAAGTGTGTAATAAATTTGAGGATCAAATAGAACATTTGTTAGTAAATTTTGGTCTTCTCTACTTGCCACTAACGGGTCGTTTGGATGCATCATTTTGGTTCTATGGTATTTCGAATTCAAATGATGCATTATTTTGCTATGTGGCATTTCATGTGGTATTTCATTTTGAAATGTGGTAATTGGTGTAATTGTCTTGTTTGGATAAAACATTCAAATATTGTGGTATTTCATCACTTAAAGAAGAGATGAAGTGGAAAAAGAAGTTGGGAGATGAGGTATTTGAAATAACTAGGGGGTGGGTAGGTATTTCAAATAACTCACAATGAGATATTTCAATTGACTCATAGACAAAATACCACATTCTACTTTATTTTTGCCAAACGAGCTATTTTAATTGAAATACCTCATTCTGAGTTATGTCGACCAAATTAACTCATCAAAATACTGCATCCAAACGATCCGTAAAATTCTCTGAGTTTCTAAAACTTAATTTCCTGCCCCCTAACTTCCATATCTGGTGCTCGTGGTGAGATTATTATTATATTACAAAAAATAATCATATATTGATTTGAACAAAATATCATTGCATCCTGGAATTTAATAAGGTCAGAAAATAAAAAAATAACGACACGTAATCGGGTACAATGAAAGGACGTTTTTAACCACCGAATGAACTATCTTATTATTACTCCGACCTACAAAACGCACACTAAGCCAATTATGAATATTAAACATTTGAAACTTTTAGATTTTTCATATTTCTAGAGTATAACTGTATACTGTACTCTAATTATTTTTAATAAAAATATTTATATTTAAAATTATGAATTAAATCGATTTTGGAACTTATAACTTTTTCATATATATCAACCGGTACGATTTGTTTTCCTTGCATGTGGAGGAAGAAGAAGAATAAATTATGTGCACGGCACCAAAGCCGGCCTGTTGATGTGCTATAGGGTCCACGAGGCTCTACTAAACAATAAGCCTGTTTCCACAATCACCGGAATGCATTGGACTTCTTGGCCCAACTGCCCGGCAATGAACCATCTCCACCATACCGATCCATTTATTATAGAAAGATGGCTTGCCCGTTTGCTATGATTAATTCTTCTGATTTATGATTAAAATCAATTAGACCAAATTATATAATAAGAACAGGATTGTCTAGTTTTCAGTTGGCAGAAGAATATCATGGTTCAATACTCAACAGATGATTTCATAGAATTATTTCTTTTATGGTAAAGTGTGATATAAACTACGATACATAAATTATTTCGAGCAAATGAAGGAGTGGTCGAGTAAAATTCAAAGGTTCCTAAATCAAGTTTGGACTTCAACTTGACAAGAAATTGGATCGAGTTTTAATTAATTGGATTGGAAAAGATCTTGTTAATGTGAATTTTATATATTTAGTTATTTCATTTATCTGACTCATGGGAATATAAATTTTCACTATTTAGACATCTTCTACACCATGCTATCATATTAAGTACACCAATAGTATCATTTTCGGAAAATTCTTGACATGGTATCCAATGAGTTATAGCGAAATCTGTTTGGATACTATCAGGTTACCAAAGAATGTTGTAGATTTGAATCGAGTGACCTCCTATTATTGCTTTTTTTTAGCTAACAATACCAAACGAACTATTTGTTGGTCTAATGAGTTTGTAGGGGTTTGCTGCACCCTCCAAAAAAACTGTATTTCATCATCTCCATAGTACAGTGATGGAGCCATGACTTGAAATTATCCATGTTTTTCTTAAAAATATAAATAAGTATTTAACGTATGTACAATTAATTACTATTTTTTTTTCAGAGCTGACAAGGTACCTTTATATCACCTTAAAATGATGAGATTGATATTTTGCATATTCACGCATTGAGATTTATTATTTGTACCAAAACCTACTTGTATTTATACTGCCTCCGCCACTGCAGCAGTAGTTTATCAATGTCACGCACTCCACCATTAATTTATACCTTAAGTTACATTCAACTTTAATTTTGTCGGTGAAAAAGCATATGAAACGTCTCGCGTGTAGTGCTCAACGTGAAACCTGCACTTCAGAGTTCAGAGAGCTTAATTAAAATTAGCACACCTTATCGTATGGATGTATGTGATGATGATGATAAAGAGAGGTCTTCCTAATCCATTTGAATTTTATTTGTTTAACTTCTTGTCTTACAAATCATGTGAACTAAAAAAAATGAAATTCAGATATTGTCTATATCATATATAGTACACGGAATAGGATGCTCCTGAGAAGTTTTAGATTTTTAATTATTATTAGCACTGAAATCCTAAAAATATATGACTTTTATTATATATAACTAACTAGGTGGCGATGCCGCGCCATGTCGCGGGGCGGAGATGGCCTATGAGCATGTATTATGTGGCCCATTATGGTATTTTGTTAGTACTGTTAGTCTAAAATTAATTTTTCGCTAACGACGTTGTTAGTAATATTGACTGAGAAGAGATATATGGCGGTCAATATCCAAATTTTTTACTTTAGATAAACCCAAGTAAACCCATTGATTATAGCTGGGGTATGAGTGACGTATATATGGGTTTGAAAGTTTGTAGATGGAATTTTATATTCCTTTTGCTTCTCTCTAGAGAGTTTCTTTTTCACCCGGACTAGAATTTTCAACAAATATACATGGAATGTTTAGCTAGATATCTACACATATCAAATCCCATAGTGGAAAATGATGACTTTCCAATAAGTAATAACCATATATATTATTTTTAATTGGGCTTGACATTGAGTTGAAAAAAGTTAGTGGTTAATAGTTCAATTATTAGTTCTCTAGACTGTTGGTGAGTCATGTATGGACTCGTTCATACTTGTGATATAATACATAAAAATAGTATACTAATTAGGGTAATTAGACGAAGAAGGCAAAGAAAGAAATAAAGAAAGGGTTATGGAAGGCGAGTGAAAAATGAAATGAAAAGGGATTAGATTATAGAAAGGTTTTGACCAATTCTTTTAGTTAGCCGTCAATACAATAGTCAACCCTTTTCACCGTAGCAATTTATCGTCAGTCGCTTATGTAGTTGTCACATATTTTATTATATGTAGTTAGTAGAAGTTTGTTTAGTACCCCGTAAATGTACTCAATGAGTTTATAAATTCGCTCTTGCAATATTTTAGAGTCGTATCTCTTTTATCATTTATTTAATATTCACATAATGAGAAAATATAAAATTGTCGAATTTTCTCCTACAGTTGAGTGATACAATATCTTGTATTGTACAAACTAAATTTATAATTTTATGTTATGGTGGATTAGATTCATGAATTGGTTCGAGAGGATTGGTGGATTGGATTCATGAACTCAAGTGAAATATAAACATTAGAAAAATATGTAAATTTGAAAAAATTATAGGTATGAAAATCTCATAAAATTATATACCCAAATATAATTGTTCAATGATTTCATATTAAGATTAAATTTGGGGTATCAAAATAAAAAATTTATATTATAGTAACTAAATTGTGACTTAATTAAATTTGAGGTATTAAAATGTAAATTATTTGACAACAGTAACCTAACTTCCACTTTATATATATTAAATATGTGAGGGGTAAGATCATAATGTACCCACGTATGTGTACTACGTGCAGATACTATACTATATTATTGTGTCCTCCATATCTCTCATAAAATAGATATACAGATAGAACTTTCTCCCCATTCAAAATCGGTTAGTTTGATGAATCGATAAAGTTATTAATTTATAATTGAATGAATATTTTTTATAAATAATTATTTAAATTATTCATAAAACAGTTGATACATATAACACGTTAATTTATGGCTCAATTTATCACCAGTGAAAATTATTCCAAACAAATATCATCCATCACCAAAATTTTTAGCAGAACATCCAAATAGTCTAAAAAAACAAACCATACAAATTTTATAAAATCTCAAATGCGTAATTGCTAATTGGGATTATTGATCGTGTAAATCCAACAAGAAGGCTATGAATAAAATAAGGGGTGTACTATTTGTAGCCCTAAATTGTCTTTATTTGTAGCCCTAAATTATAAAAAGTACAATAATACCCATCACATATAAATACATTTAGTTCACACATTCCAAGACCAAAATATTCAAACACTTTCTCCAAACACAATCCTACAATACTCGCCGCCGGCGACAGCCACCTCCCGCCGGCGACTGCCACCTCCGATGGCTGGAAGTCATGCCGGAACGTCGCCGGTTTTTTATTTTATTTTTAATTTTATGTTAATTTAAATTTGTGAAGTATATTAGATTTTTTAAATTAGATTTTTTGGTTATTATTTTAGATTTTTTTATAATAGATTGATGAATGATTTAGGTTTTTAAGAATATTTAATGATTTTGGGAGACAAGAGAGTGTTTGGTTGGAGTTGTAACAAGTTCAATATTTTAAAAGAAAAGAAGGGTAAAATAGTAGTTACATTCTCCTAGGGCTACAAATAAAAAAAAATAGGGCTATAAATAGCAATTCAGTAAAATAATTATATGGACTCTATTCAAACTATTTTTTTTTTCTTTTCTTCTTAAACTTTCTTGTTTCTGATTAAAATAGTAAATCGGACAAATCAAATCGTCGGCTGATCAATCCATTTCTTATAACAAGGACAATTTCCAGTTTTCCCCTCACTAATGCTAATTAATTAATGACATAAAAAGATTATGCCTTTGATGGGCGACCGGCTCAAAGGATGAATCTCATAAACTGAAAGTCTGAAAGGAGCCAAGAAGAAAGGTAGTGCCCGTAGTGGGTGCAGAGCAGACTGCAGAAGGAGGGAGGGAACGAATCACGATTAATTTATAAATTCACTATTAGCGTTAATGGGGTGTGTAACATTTAATTAATTAATTGGGAATTTTTTTTTGGTAGAACAAGTGAGTAATTAATGAATGACTGAGAGGTCGGTCACGTGACCCTCCACAGTTCTGATTCGAGCCCAAACTCCCAAACACAATAGTTAATGGGCACATGTGCCCCTCCCAAAGGTAAACAAAATATCAGCAAGGCTCTATCCAATAGTTAACTGAGAGGTTTCTGTCAAAAAAAAAAAAAAAAAAAAGTTAACTGAGAGGTTGGAATAACCCATTCGTCTATAGCTTTTGCCTCCAAAGTTTGAGACCCCAAATTTGTGCAAAGTGATCTTCACCTCCTTGCTTGACACTAGTCAGATTGTTCTCATAAAAAACATAAGAATCACTCACATTAATTACTTCAGACGCTTTCCAAATGAATGACCCATACTTCTGCATCCCCATTCTCAAAGTAGCCCTAATAGGGCCGGCTATTTGGTCCAAGTTTTTTGGGTTTATCCGAAACCAGACCGTATAATCCGGACCGAAATCGAATCGGAACCGGATAGAAAACAATTCAATCACATTTTCGGGGTTAAATTTGAGATAAAAAAACTATTTGGGACCGGATCGAAAACCGGATAAAGACCGGATAAGAGAGTCCAACACCCAAAACTTAACCAACTCCTCACATTTTGAGGTCTTAGACCACTCAAATTTCCACAAGCTCAATCTAAAATCAAGACCGAATTGGGACCGAACCGGGTAAAGACCGGACCGAATTAAGACCAGACTGTATCCAATCCAATCTTTGGTCCTTATATTCCCGAAAAGACCCGACCGGGACCGAAACAATTCAGGCCAATTTAACCGGATCGGACCGTATAGCTACCCCTAATCGAAAGCAGCCAAGCTTACCCCAAACAAGGGTAAGTTAATGTCGTCAACCAAATTGCTCATTTCTTCAAGCTCCATGACATGAAAGCCAAGGCCAACTACAATTTTAATTTACTTCCCTGCCCGTGGTGATATCAAAAGGGTTTGAAGTCGAGTTGGAGATGTCATTTTTTAGTAGAATACAAATTAGCTCCGTCTCATCTAAGTCGGTAGTCGAATTAGGTAATCAAAGAGGGACATTTATGTACACATGAGCTCTTTCCGCCCACTCTTTTGTTAATTGTGAAACTTTAGCTAACTCGTCAACCTCGATACAGTCACCAATACTCAGCCCGAACTTCAACACTCTATGAATCCCAATCGCGAAAATGTGTGACCCTCAACACGAAAACCCCGAGTATGGTTACACATGCAAACAACACATGAGTTAGTGTGATACGTGATAGTTTGAGTTTTAACTCGGTTTAAGTACACATTTTAATAGCTCGTTCGTTAAGCAAGAATAAGATTTAATGATGGGAAATTGGGATGAACATCTGCATTGGTGTTTGCTGAACAACGCATTGAGAATTTGACCCTTTAGATAGACTTATCAATCCAATCACAATAACCAATAGAATTTTAAGAATGATTTCAAGACAACCCATTCCACCATACCACCTCCTTCTACTTGTTGCATTTCAAGGTTGAGTATCACGTTACAGTTTTGCTCAATGACTTGGATTAAACCGATGAAATCAAGACCTTATGAATGATGTTGATGTTATATTGAATAACTCGACCCCTTCTTCTCAGTGGCATGAATACACTATTTGCTCGCACCTACCAACGATTTTGTCAATATACAAAAATTGAAATAGAATTAAACCACGGTTTACACATAAATAACGGGTAAATGCCACATTTGGTCACTGAGATTACTAATTTGTGTCATGTTTATATTAATTTAGGTTACTTAAATTACTGAAACATGTCACATTTAGTCACTCTCCCGTTAGCCTCCGTCCAACTCCGGCCACTCGAATTACTGAAACGTGTCACATTTAGTCACTCGAATTATGAAACATATCACATTTAGTCACTCTCCCGTTAGTTTCCGTAATTCGAGTAAATGCGACATGTTTCAGTAATTCGAGTGACCAAAATTGATATTAAAATTTTCAAATGACTAACACATGACACGATTTAGTAATTTCAGTAACCAAATATCACAAATAACCTACCACATACTTGAGCAAAATCCAATATAGTTTTACAATATTTGATAAAAAGATCTCATCCAAAAAATGGAAAAAGAAAATGGGGAAAGGAATTAGTTAGTTATTAAATCGGGGAAAATAAAACCCTACGACCCAACTCGTAAGGACGAATACTTCGTGGAATCAATCTGGCCGTCCAGTGAATGATCCTACGGTGAAGATAAGCCAACGCTCGTGCTTATCACTCATCTTTCTTCACTTCAGTCTCCTCTCCCTTCCCCTTTCTTTTTGTTCCCCTCTCTCGCGAAGAGAAAACCATGGCTGAAGCCACCATGATTTTCGATCATCTCCAACACTCCTAACAGTCGACCTGATCCATTTGTTCATAACAAAACCCTACACATTTCTTGTTACGAAATCCCAGTCTTTTAACTCCCAACGAAACACAACCTGTTTGGGGGAATTTCATATCTGTTTGTCTATTTCTTTTCCCCTAAGCCTTCGAATTCCGTCGACTTTCCAGAGTTCCCTGTTTTCCAATCAAGAAGGCCGTCTGTTTTCCTGGCGTAAGACAGAGAGCCCAGTTTGGTTCCTCTTGCTCTGTAGCTGAATCTGTACTCAAAGTCTCAATCTTTATAGCGTCGTATGTGTCCACAATCGCTGATGGTCTCAGATACGTATCCAAACATTCTTCCCGACATCTCTATGCGATCAGTCCTTAAAAATGAGGATTTGGCCCAGTTGATTAGGGAACAGCGGCTACAACAAGAGGCGGCGAGCGAGAGGGAGAATGAACTCAACATTTACCGGAGTGGGTCTGCGCCTCCAACAGTCGACGGCTCTTTGAGCTCAATCGGAGGCCTGTTGAGGAAGAATGGGAAAGGTGGGTTCTTTAGTGAAGAGGAGTTGAGGTCTGATCCAGCTTACGTTAATTACTACTATTCCAATGCTAACGTGAATCCAAGGTTGCCGCCTCCTCTGCTGTCAAAGGAGGACTGGAGATTCGCTCAGAGGCTTCACGGTGGTACTCCGGCGAATTCGGTGGTGGGTGATAGAAGGAAAGTTGGTAGAGGCGGTGGTAATGAAGGGAACAGGTCACTCTTTGCGATGCAGCCAGGGTTTGGAGGTAGTAAGGAAGAGAACGGGGTTGGAAATGGCGGTGGAGTTGAGTGGGGAGTAGATGGACTTATTGGTTTGCCAGGGCTGGACCTTGGAAGTAGGCAAAAGAGCATTGCTGAGATGATTCAGGTGATTCTTTTTGTAATTTTAAGTGCTTAATTGGGTAAAATGTATTTGTTAAAATATCTGGTGTTTCTTGCCCATGGTAGTCTGTCACTGGTAGAGTATGTTCTTTATTTGTAGTAATGGTTCTATGGTAGCTGTGCTTTCTGTTTGGGGTGGTTCATTATGATAATGCTGGTTTGGAAACAAAGTTCTTGTGGTGGTATGTTGTTGTTCTGGCTTTTAGTTGGTTGTTTTCTCATAAAGCATCTGGCATTTGAGTTAGATTCTTTGGCATTGGTGGTTGAATTTACCAAGTCACTTGTAGGGTAGTTTGTTCGGATTCAAATTAATATGACCACTCATGTGTGGGTATCTATTTCGGGAACTTCTTTATGGTTTCCCTATTACCCAGTTAATTTCCTTATTGGCTAGGTTGTGCCATGATGTTGTGGTTGTTCTGACTCTGTGTTGGTTGTTTTGTCACAAAGCATTTGATTCCAGATTCTTTGGGGGTGTTGGTTTAGGTTCCTAGTCACTCGTAATATATTTTCTTTTGCACATTCTTTTGTGAACTCTTCAAATTTAAACTTC